AAATTATCTACACCGTTGGAAGTTATCTTAATTGCTCGCTGGCTTGACATTACTGCCCTTTGGATAGCAGAAGGGTTTTACCTACCCTTGGAACCAGCGGAAGTTAAGAACTTTCTGCCACTGTACCCAGATTTTGTGGCTGAGCTCATGGCATCTTGGTCTAAGCCGCTATCCACCCACACCACGGTCCCAGGTCACGGACAGTTTTCGGATGTTGACAGAGCTGAAAAGGCGGAATCCGTTAACCTCCCTCCGATGGAGCCCTCTCTCGCGGCTTATCTGGCCCCGACTTGCAATAATGGAGTAAGTGGGCAAACTAATCTACCCTCCATGCTTCTCAGCTGGTCAATTGGAGATGATTTACTGCGCTCAAGCCTCCATCTCCTGTGTCCACAGCTTTTCAATCGTGCTTCAAACCTACCAAGCGCTTTGCCTGGCGAACCTTGGAGCAAGGGTTCCGCCCGACAGCCTGCTGTAACCCCCTCATCAATGAGATACAGATCACATCGGACTACACTCTGCAGGCAGCCCAAGGCATCGCCCTGTTTTTGGGAAGAGGTATGGCCAGGACTGTGGTAGCCCAAAGACACTTGTGCCTGACCCTTTTCAATTTCCCAGACCAGGACAAGACAAACTATCTTGACTAGCCCGTCTTCCCCTGGTGGTCTGTTTGGACAGTCCCTCTACACTATCCAGACAAAGTTCGAGGCCCAGCGAAAACAGACTGAAGCACTATGCTCCATCATCCTCAGGGGAGGGGGTAAGCGCACAGTGCCGGGATCTGACAGGAGGAACCTGATCTCCCCTCCTCCACCTCAGAGGACAGCCTTGCTAGCAGCAGCAATGGGCTCAGTTCCAGCTCGGTCCTCATCCTTCCCTCCTTGCTAATCTGCCTAGACTAAAGGCCCTCCTGGGTAGAGCCCTGCACGGGCCTAAAATCTGAGCCCGTGTCCGGCCCGGCCCGAGGGGGTGGAGCCCCAGCCCGACCCGGCCCGAAAAGGTTTTCAAGATTCTCTGGCCCGACCAGATTTTTTTTTAACCAGCTAAATGAAAACAAACTGCGTTATTCCTGACCAATGTGTTAAAAGACGTGCAGGATCCGATCAATTTGTTTTTCCCTCGTTTACCGTCACGGAGATGACGGCGCACTGGCTCTGGTGGTAATCAAGTTAAATTTGATCTCTTTCCAACAATTTTCACAAGAAAACAGAACAGTCAAAAGCAGGGCTTGAGTTGACCGGATAGTTCCAGAATAGAAAGAATTACCCCGACGCATATAGACAAACTGACATTTTATTCGTTACACACATCGCAAATGTAGCTAAATCACCCAAGAAAAGATTCCCATCTGAACATCTGAGCTGCTCAGCGCAGCTTGCTGTCAGCGCATATGTGCACAGGGAGCTGAAGATGTGGAGATTGGTTTGGAGCGCGTCGCAGAACCAGAGCACATGCGGGAAGATTCCTCCCACTGAAGCGAGTATTTTCCAAACCCTGTCTCTCAGAGAGACTTGTCACTTAGAAAATGTTCCCTGATTATGAAACTTTGGCTGAATAGCGCTTGTTCCCCTCTCCAATGTGGCGACACATCCAGGAGGAGAATCCCAGAATCTCTTCAGCTCAGACAGCTTATATTACGCACAAGCGTGACCCGTCAACCCGGTCTCACAGTAAGACTGGGTTGGGCCTGTTCAGGTTTACGCAGACAATCTTTACATAGAATTGACTTACAGATATAAAATTAATTCAGTAAAATATAAAGCATTTTATTTAAATATCCATTCATTAATTTACAAGCACAGAGAGCCGCATCAGATGGATGGAAGAGCCGCGGGTTGTGACATGTTTTCTCCAGGACCAGAGAGGACGCAAACTCAATACATCTCTTTTATTGTGAGGTAATAATTTCTCCGAGTTATGCGGTTGCGGGCGGGAGTAGACATGCACGCTGCAGGTGCGGGTGGGAGTGTAACACACACGTTGCGGTTGCAGGCGGTAATGGTCAGAAATTCAGCGGGAGCGGGCAGGAGCGGGATGAAGAAAACAGTCCCACGCAGGGCTCTACTGCTGCGTTTGTGTTTCAAATTTTTTTTAATTAATTCGATTAAAAATAAAGGCGCCCGGCCTGGCCCGTGTCCGAGGTAATTGCACAGTCGTTGGCCCGAAGCCCGACCCGAGGGCCTAGGGCTTCAGTGCAGGGCTCTACTCCTGGGGGCTTGCAGAAACGCTCCCTGAGTCGTAAGAAGAAGCCTTAGTCGTCCTGATCCCGGGACTAATCTTGTTCGGGTTTTGTACCCTGTTGGATGACCAAACTCCAGTTCTCAGCAGTTGAAATGACCCGGTTTAGCTACGGTTCAACCCCCCAGTCCAAAGATACTTTGTTTCCCATCTCCAGGGGGCAAGAGTTGCACTGTTTTCATAAGCTTGCACAAAAATGTAATAAAGACTGCTGTTTGCACTTGAAAATGTATGGATGTTATGTGTTTCAGCAATGCTTCTCAAACTGGCCTTATAAACCTGTGTCAGCCCGCTAAGCAGGTGGAGAACAGCTCAATTTTCACATTAAATCCTTTCTGCAGTCAGCCTCTGTGGGAGCAGGAAAAGCCGTTTTCTCCCATTCTGCTGGAGAACAGCAACTCTCCTCTGGTAGCAGACATGATGCTCAGAAAACCTCCCATTCCGCTAGAGGGCAGCAGCTCCCCCACCAAGGCGCTGAGTGGTTGCCTTGCAGCTAAACTTCACCTCTGGTGAGCATGCGCAATGCCCCCCTCGGTTGAGCGCACAGTTTCCATGGGTTACCAATTGCAGTTCTCGTTAGCAAGGTGCCTGGCACTGTGCAGCATGGGGAAAGTTCAGACTTGTGTTTTATTCCTGAGCCCTGTTGACACTTATTAATAAAATGGAAGAATCAGCTGCATCAGGGATTTGTACTGGCAGGGTACGAATTACACAGAGGTTTCCCGGGGGAGCCCAGTGAGTGTGTGTGTGTGTGTGTGTATTCTGCCTAGGCCTCCAAAATGCCTTGATACAGCCCTGGCTGTGGGACTGAGCTTTGAAGGTGATCTGAATTGTATCAAACATTTAAATATTACATGTTCATAAATGATTGCTTTATAAAGGTAACACATGTAGTGGGATAACTGTACCTACAGCTTCCTTTTCAAGCTCTTTGTGTGGTTTTCCTGTTTTTTATTTGTCCGTTTTCCTGTCCGGTCCGTCTCTCATCTTCTTGCATCTTCTCTCAATCCTGCAGAAAAACTGTTGCCTGGCTTCCTACTTTTTTACCACGTGAGTTACTTCTGAAATAAGCACGGCTGTGCCAGTGAGGTGAAGTCACCGGACCACGGGTGATGCTGCAGTGGCGCGTGTCAGCCACAAACAAAACAAAGTACCAGAAAGAATTTGAGCGGGCATGAAAGATCATGTGTTAATTATAAATTTTGATGGCGCCACTTTGAGAGTGTCGCCGTGGCCATGCGCAGTACGCAGCTGCCTCGAGCGCATCACCAACTGGCGCTCTGTGTCCGCTCAGCTCCAAAGAATCCCTGGTACACTGAGAGTCCATGTAATTAATGTAACATAGATGTTAACTACATATTTTTCGGGCTCCCCATGGGTGTGTAAGTTGAGGGGTTCCAGTGGAGCCCGTCACCCTTTCAGGTGAGCCGGGCTCGTTGCCGTTAGAACCCTGCATGCTGGGTTAACTCACTGCAATGAATCTGCGTATTTCCACTTGAACATATTTGCCAAATGATTTGTGCAAAAATCAGATTTTTATTTTACTTCCACAAAAGACAAATTCTAGATTTGATATTAGAGAAAACGAGGACGGCTTGCCATCAAATTTATACGCCGTCACTCATTATTGGGTCGTCATTTTTGAAGTCAGACCGTCCAAATGACGGCCAGACAGCTTGCTGGCTAAAATACTATGATTGTGGGTAGTCATGATTTTAGTTAGTTTTTTCTATTTTGGGATGTTTATACATGTTTATTTTGGGGGAGTTGTGTTGTTCTTAGTTATAACTTTGTTCACTGTTGCTAACGTGGTGTCACTTGTCGTGCCATGTCGGCACTGTGAGTGAGCTGGTCAGTCAAAAGAATGGGATCGCTGTGCCGTTCCACTCTTTATAATAAAATACATGGTTCACGCTGAATGCTCTGCACGCAGCTCCTTGTGATTCGCTCCCACTGGCTGTCTGCAGTTGCATGGTGTGTGAAGCACGAGCCAGCTGGCGTTTAGCAGTGTGGCTGCTAGCTGTTAGCTTCCTGGCCCGACAGCTGAAACAATACCAATACCGTCAAAAGTTGAAATTTCATTTTTTTTTCTTCCCTTGGAGTTGATTAAATATAACATTTGGAAAAAATAAAAAATAAAAAGCTGTGTCTGATTTAAATAACACTTATGGGCCGGGTCGGCCCGGGCCGGGTAGCCCCAGTCGGCCCCAGCCTGGCCCGGTTGATTCCACACATCCTTGTCTTAAGCCCATGTGGGCTGATTCTACCCACCAATCAGAGGCTTGCTCTAATGGAAGGTGTGAATTTGCTGTCAGCAGTGGGCGTGTTGGCCCTGGTCGGCCTGAAGCAGACCCCCTCGAGAAGAGAGCTGAGAATGAGCCTTGGTTGGCCCGGAAAAATACCAGGCCACCCAGATATGTAAACAACCTACGCTACCCGGCCCGGGCCGACCCGGTACAGATGGGAATGGCCCATTACAGTCAAAGTGTTTTAACAATTGTGAGAATTGACTCCAATTTAACTCAAGGGTAAAATTGACTCTGAATACCGAGAACAGTGTAACTTTTACACGGTACCATATGTTCACTGGCTCAGTGTTGAAACTGACTCTATAAGTGTTGGATTAACAGTGCTCATTTTACTGTGGGGGCTGCTGCAGCTGTAGTTTCTAATCAGGCCAGTGGTTGCAGCCCAGTCAGAGAATGGCTCTACCTAGTTTCAGGGCCATGCAGCATGGACACGTCGCTAGTGAGAAACATTACCTGTTGTAGGACTTGTGTTCTGTTGGGAGGTGCCGGTACATCTCTTGTGATTGCCCCCACCATCTGAAGGATCTTCAGAGCCACAAAGCTCTTCCTCTGGCTGTTCTATGTCGGCTGCCACACCAACACAGACCTGATCCGTCTCTGAATCACCCAACCCGCTACGGCGCACATCTAGTGAGCAATTCTGTCCCAACAAGTTACTGACAACATCGACTTCAGCGACACCTTCCTGGTTCGTCCTTCCTGTGTCACCTTTCCAGTGTTCCTGTGTGGCCGTGTCCCCCACCTCGCCAGTGTTCCCATTACACACAGGATGATCAGCAGTCCAGCCCTGTGCTGCCCAGTAGGAGTAACGCTCCCAGTAAGAGTAATAGGTCTCGGTGGCATGTGTGTTCCAGACAGCTATAGTATCTGGGTTATTCCAGGGAACAGTGACTGCTCCGGGATCGTCTGTAGACAGCGCACTGACCTCTGGATGTTTCTCTAACCAGCTGCTCCACAACAGAGATTCTCCGTGCTGAGCTTCATGGATTTAAAAGAAAGAAAAAAAATCGTTTGTTTTCCTACATGTTTAACATTTTCTCATCTCATTTGGCAGGCGTGAATTTTACCCCCCACTCCCCCTTAACGGGGGTCGGATCTTCATTTAAATGAAAAATCCATTCATATCAAGCTGTTTTTTAAAAATATTTGTAATTTTCTCTCTCTCACACACACACACACGCACGCACGCACGCACACGCGTTTTACTTACCCCAGTAAGACTCCCAGCCAGTGTCCTGGTTCTCTTCTTTCTGCTTTTTTTCGTGACCTGCTTTGTTCTTCATTTCATCTTCCAGTAAAAGAAAGAATCAAAATCAACACAGAACAGCTTTACGGTTTTATATAACCTATATTCCTTTATAAGTGGGGCTGCTGCTACTGAATAGTTTAGCTCTTTAGGTAGCTTTGAAGAAGAAGAAGAAAATATCATTTCTGTAGCGCCTCTCAAGATAAAAATCACGAGGCGCTTTGATAAAAACGTACAAAGCCAGAGCTAGTGTCTCTCCTCTGTGCTGTCATTTATGTCTGTTCTCATTAGGAGTAGACCGATATATCAGGCTGATATTTACCATTATCAACATCGGCCATTATACATCCTGATAGGTAATTAGATTTATCCCATATAACCTTAAAGGACGACACACAGAGAGAGAGAGAGATATTATTTGTAATGTCCATGTGGGCGAATCAACATGCAAGAAGCTGGACTCAACCAACCAGCCCCCACTCTGTTCCAGCCTCAAAGCCTTCACCTCACCAGCTCTGCATACCCGCGGTCTCCATTAGGAGACCAGAATGTTAGGTAATATTTAATCTCCATAACCCTGGAACCTGAAATAAACACACATGACAACAAGGAAGACATTTTGCCCTGAGTCCCCAAAATAAATGGAGAGTTAACGCAGAGGAACCTCCACCGAGGCTTCCCCACGTCACTCCCGTGTGCTCCTAGTTCGTCAGGGGCTTTATTCACAATGGATGGAGGAGAAGGCGGGCCTTCTCAGGTTACAGAGGTACAGAGGTTTCCTTGGAAATCTACAATCAACATCCTTGACTGCAAACAAGCTTCTCTGCTCAACCTTTCATAAACAGCCACAGTTGGCAAACACAAGAGATTCACGAAGTGTTAATAACACAAAATGAGCATCTTTTAGGCCTCAAAAAGGTACAATTATAAAAATACCCAACACATCCTTCGTAAAGCTGATTTAAAGTCAGGCACATCCCCGGGCAGCATGGTGTTTCATTTAAAGCTACTTTCTGGAGTTTCCCCCTTTCAGGAATTATGTACGATTTTTCAGAAACACAAAACAGTGATTGTCTTATCATGTGCTGTGATATAATGTAGGAAATACTTTTATTTATTTTTTTGCTAAGCCCACCCCGTCCCGTAGAGCTCAATGCAAGTGCCGGTCAGCACTAACCAATAGTGCTAGACTACCGCGTACGTACAGGCGTCAATCACAGAGCGTGCATGAGTGTTTAAGGGCGTTCTTCGGTTGATGCAGAGTTAATGACCTTTCTCGGGGACAAGTAAGTGTTTAAAAGAAAAAAATTGAGAACACAACATAACATGAGCATAATAATTGTAAAACAACTGTTTTAGATTTGTTTTGTTGGCTAGAGGAGAGCGTTCATGAACAAGAGGCGTTGCTTTTGGCCGTGAAATATTTGCCTTCGACAATCAGATCTGATCAATTTTATTTATAAAGCTTGCCGATAAAAGTGTGTTTTCAGGACGGATTGAATTGATGACAGCGAAGTTGCCTGACGTACACTCAGTGGTACCACAGTGCAGGTCCACATATTGAGAACGCTCGTTCTCCCCGAAGCTTCTTCCTCGACCTCGGGACCTCTAACAGTAGTTAGTCCGCTGACCTGAGGTTCCGGGCCGGTTTATAAAAGGAAAGAAGCTCAGAGAGATATGGTGGGGCAAGACCATTCAGTGATTTAAAAACAAAAATTTAAATCTTAAATTTCACCCTGAAAGTCACTAGCAGCCAGAGAAGGGAGGCCAAGATAAGGGTTATGTGATCCTGCTTTTGTGATCGGGTCAGCACTCTGGCAGCAGCGTTCGGCACCATTTGGAGACGCTTGAGGGCAGACTGGGTCACCCCAGAGTACAGCGAATTACAGTAATCCAGCCGAGAAGTACTAAAAGCATGGATCGCTGTTTCAAAGTGTTGCCTCAACAGGAAAGGCCTCACCTTCACCAGCTGCCTCAGGTGGAAAAACCCAGACTTCACCACAGAGCTAATTTGGTGTTCTAGTTTAAAATCGCTGTCCATCTTAAAACCCAGATTTGAAATGCAGTTTTTCACATGTGAAGCCATCGGTCCTAAATCAATATCACTAGGTGAACAACTATTAGTGGGGCCAAAAACCATTACCTCCGTCTTCTTATCATTAAAGCTTAAAAAGCTCTGCGCCATCCAATTTTTAATGTCTTGGAAGCAGGTCAAGAGAGTGGATACTGACTGACCCTTTCTCACAGGTAAGTATATTTGCATGTCGTTTGCGCAGCAGTGGAAAGCCACTCCATGCTTACGCAACATGGTACCCGAAGAACAAAGATAAACTGTAAACAGGATGAGCCCCACAATTGAACCCTGGGGAACCCCCCCATGCCAATGGAGACGAAGCAGAGCTAAAACCTGCAAGGCTCTCACACATGGATCTATCAGAAAGGTAGGACGAGAACCAATTTAAAGCAGTGCCACAGACTCTTTAAGTCTATTCTATAGAATGCCATGGTCAACGGTGTCAAATGCTGCGGACAAGTCCAACAGGATGAGGATGACATATGCCCCTTCATCAGACTGAGGATATCATTTGAAACCCTTAACATTGCAGACTCTGTACTATGCAAGTTTTTAAAACCGGACTGAAATACCTCAAGCATGTTATTACTCCCCAAAAAGCTAGTTAATTGTGTGTTGACAACCTTCTCTAAAATTTTAGAAAGGAACGGCGACCTAGAAACTGGCCTGTAGTTGGCCAGTACCGACTTATCCAAGTTGGGTCCCTTTAACAGAAGCAGAAGCTGAGACGAGCAGCCACACACACCGGCGCCATCTTGAATCTGTTAGCTGTTTTGTTTGAGCAACAATAAGGAATATTGTGTAGCTGTGTTTGCTGACTTGGCTAAAGCTTTTGAGTCTGTAGACCATAACATCGTACCTAGCAGGCTCAACCATGTAGGACTTTCTCAAGCATCCGTGGCTTGGTTCAGAAGTTATATCTTAGGCCATACACAGACAGTGAGAACAGAGGGTTACCAATCTGCTCCTCTACCTCCATCTATGGGCAAAGGTAGATACGGGGCCACAACCTTATTCAAAATCAGTATTAGTAACATTGTTCATGCTGTTGACAGTTCTCATATACATTTATTATATGCGGACGACACAATTTTATATTCATGCAGTTCTTCCTTGAATGCAGCTTTTTTTTCCTTGCAGTACAACTTTATTCATCTTCAACATGCCTTCTCCAACCTTCATCTTCATTTAAACACAAGTAAAACAAAATTCATGATCTTCAACCGTAACTTAGTGCAATTAACTTGTATTGTTTCCCTGGATGGTACTAGTCTGGCCTGCCAGACGCGTCCTCGGTTTAATTCTGCACAGAGAACTAGTCTGGTAACTCACAGGCAGAGAGGCACATGAGGGGCAGGACTAGCCAGCTCAAAAATAACCAATCAGAGAAAAGACTGAAATGCAGACTTGACGCTGTAGTTTTTTAACTGTAGTTGAGCAGGCTGCTTCATATGCGTTCACGCTCAGCCATAGCCCGTATCATTTGCTATCCGTAGCTTTAGCAGCAGGGAGTGAGGCAGTGCCAACTCAGCGACTTTCTCGCTGTTCCTAACGCCTAGTGATGAACCTAGCTACATTTCTGAGGACACTTAGCTACTTTCTTCTAAATATTTCCTGCAAATTAGCAACAAAATAGCCATTTTCGCTCCGAACCATTCTTTGAGCGTTGTTTCAGGTGTCATCAAGGATATAAATGTTACAGATACAAAAAAACCTAGTAAGATGTCAGACTCTTGTGCAGAAGACCTGGGTTCAATTCTGGATGTGAGCATAGTCTATTTAGAGTTTCTTTTTACATTAATGGTATATTTTTTTACAGTAAGATGCCCAAATTTTTATCTGAGACTCGCTGAACGGCATTGAATTCACAGATAAAAAAGATGTGGGTTCAACTTTCATTTTGGAACAAATTTTCAAGCAAGAGAAGGGAATGATCTGAGCATGCAGGAGGACTGACCCATCTTAAACCTTTGTCGGCTGTGCTGAAGAGAAAGGTACAGAACCAAATTGTTTAATTAATTAGCTGCATGTTCTCTTGTCCTCTGTCCTCCGGGCCACACCCACACACACACACACGGGACTGTCAACTGTTATTTTCGTTAAGGAGTGTGCACGTACAGCATACACGCCTCGTGCATGAGCCTACTATTGAAGCTGCCGTTACACTTTTGGCCTGAGGGGGCAATCGCGAGCATAAAAATTCAAAACTCCGTAAAGTCCCTTTAAAATCAGAGTTCAAAACCTGATTCAGCTTCAGAAAATGTATGCATCAACTGATGTTATTAGTGACATGTTAGCATGCAAATAAAGTGGAAAACGTCTAATTATCGGCCCTGAAAACTGGCCCCAAAACAGCAGTACATATCAGTCGATCATGTCTCCTACACACTGGCATAGGCAATAGAAAAACCAACAGCGGTCGACCTCTAGTTCTTATAAACACACATTTGCAGGGGTGCAGCCAAAGATCAAGAGATAGTCTTGATATCCGCGGACAACAGCTTGTCATTTAATATTCAAAAACCTTTTCAATTCTTGTTGAAAGATTTTTCAAATACTGAATCAGTGTGATGGGAGGCGAGTTCCTTAGCAGCTGAGATATAAAAGTCTTTAAACTGGAGACAATCAAACTAATATAAAAACGTCAGTAAAACGACTTTTCCCCCAAGTCCAGACAAGTGGAGCTGACCGTGGTCTCTAATGATGATTTATATCTATTCAATAAATTTGGCCCTGCTTCTAAATGTAGCTTGTGTAATTTTAAAGCATTTTGGGGTTTATTTAGTCCATAAAATTGTATCATTTAACTTCAGATCCTAGATCCTTACCTCCAGATCCTAAACTGTGTTATTAAAGGATGTGTTAGTAAATCTTTATTTCTGTGTAACAGAGTCAGAGTCACGTTTTCATCTTTTCCGAGTTCTGATAACGGACTAGAAATGATTGTGTTGATAGCTCCCCTGGTCTCCCTGTTACAGAGAGCTTAACACAGACCTGGCAGCATGGGTGTGCATTAGGGGGCTGTGACCGCCCGTGCAGTCAGTTGTGCCCACCCTGGGCAGCGGAGCTGTAGAAGACCGCTCATTACAAGCATCAGTGTCACAGCTCTTGGTGCCACAATGTTGTGATTAATTCCATTTCCTGAAAACTGGGTTATTTGTGCAATAACCAAGTTGTGTGCATGTGGTTGTACACTTGTCTCGTTGTTGGCTTCATGCAACACTTCATATTCAGCCATTTTTATAATATTGTGCTCATTGGTGAAAAAAGCATTTCAAGCTTCATGTATGACTAACCGCCTTCATGGTCACCCCTTTATTATTAGTTTAGTTTATTTCAAACAAAATAAACATACATAATTTTTTTAAAAATACCACAAACAGAAAAAATACATATCATCCCTTCTTCTGTGTTTGAAAAGGAGTAGGCTGAAGTGGAAACTTATATATCCCTACCCCTTTGTACAAGTAATTTTTACTTGTTTACTAAATCTAACACAAAACCTACATTAAAACAAACAAAATGGTACAAGTCACCAAAAACCACCAAATTATATGGAAAAACATAGAAGCATAAAGCACAAGTTGCGATGGAGCTTGATACTGCATCACTACTCCTAGTCCAATCAACTTGCGTTACTGACAGGCACAAGGGTCGCTTGTTCCGTTTCCTGTGCTCCCTGCTGCTGCAGCTACCTCCCTAGTGTCGACTCCGGTGTTCGGTTTGGCATCAGCGACAGAAGAGAACCTGTGGTGCTCCCAGCATGACCCGGCCCCTGTTGCTGTTCTTTACTTTCAGGTTAACTTACACAACTGTAATTTGTATTTATACATCAGCAGCGCTATGAACGGATTTTTAAAGTGTTGATAGCTAATATGAACAATGGTTGTCAGGAAGGAAGGAAGGAAGGAAGGAAGGAGAAGGGAAATCTGATGGTAACTGTTACCTTCTTCTTCTTCAAACTGGGAATCTTCATCCTGGACTGGGGCTTCCCTAGATGTTACAATCCTCCTGTGAGACGTTCTCCTCTGCTATGAAAACAAAACCAGGAAGTGGTGAACGTGTTTGAGGTCTACATGTTACCTGACATCAGGAAGCCGTCTGACTAACCTCCCTCCTCCGATCAGATGAGCTGATGAAAGCCAAAGGAAGACCCAGTTCAGCCATTAACCGAGACTCTCCATCCAAAAGCTCTTCCTCTTCCTCCTCCTCCTCCTCCTCCTCTTCAGACTCTGTGAAAGCACGTGCGTGTTAGTGTCCCTTCTGTCTGAACCCAGCCCAGACCCTGATCGTTCAGAACCGAGTAGGACTCGGTTGGATGGACAGTACCGAGAACCTGAGCGGGGTCCTGGGACAGCAGCCTGTTGTCAGACCGGTACAGATCTCTGTCCCTGTCAGACACACACAAACACAACCAATCACAACTCGACCTGCTTCTGCCCGGGTAAGACCTAGTGGAGGTCCAACCAGGTCCAGCACCCGAGGACAGGAGAAAGGTGGCCCATCATAAAGACCGGACTGGACTCAACAACAAAACCAGTAGTCTCTACCGGGGAACACGGATCTGAAAGAGGACGAGATAGTGAGGGCACACTGACTGGACGAAAGCTCTGGAGCAGCGGCAGAGAACCGTCAGCTGTCCGGGATCCGCCACGTCTCTCTCCCGTTCCGGGTCCCGGTCTAGCTTCCGAGTCCCTCGGTGGGCGAGGAGGATGTCCGCCAGCACTCTCACAACGCTCCTTTCCAGCATCATTTCGCTTACCTAAACACAGCTCACGTTGAGCGGTTCACACAACTTCCGGTAAAGTTCCGTAATCATCTTCTTCTCTGGTCTGCAGCAGCACAGACTTCCGGGTGCACCACGCCACCTGCAGGTCAGGTGAAACACAAGCTTCCTCCTCGTTATGTGCCCCGTTTAAATTGGAAGACTTCTGTCTGAGATTCGGTTTCCCTTTCTGGTTCAACCCGCCGAAAGTTTAGTCAATAACACAACCAATGGCCAACGTTTTTGGGAGCATTTTATAATAAAGTACTTCTCTGAAAAGGTTGTCCCTGAAAGGGAACTATAGTATTTCTGACTAATCTGGTTGTATTCATCTATGCTTTGTACGGTAAACGTGGGCAGGTTTTACTCTATATTCTGTGTAATACCACAGAGGCTGAGCAGAGATATGTTCCACTTGGAAGTAAATAGATGAAGACAGATCTGTAAATTGCATCCTTAAATAACATTTGATTTTTATGAATTCAGGCCTCAGCACGGCTTCATCATCAAGTAAAATATCAGCAGCATAGTGTCAGGTCAGGTCATATTTTAGTGGATCCCCATACAGCACCATCATCCTACTCTTTATACCTCAGTCATATTTGTTCTGTATTTTATTCTTTTGTACAGTTATAGTCAAACGTTCTCTCCACATCTTTATGCTCTAGAATGTACCAAAGATAGCACAAATGTGTCGAAGAATACTCATATAGATTTATACATTTCTCCCAAATATCACCACCATGTCTATACAATTAAAAAAGGTTACTGTACATAACAGTTATTGCAACTCAAACCGTAAATCTCATTTAAAAAGTGATGTTCATTTTGTGATGTTATTTATATAATCAAGTCACTCGACATAAATATCTCAGACAACACTATCAATGTGTAAAGAAAAGTAGTTGCATTTCGAGGGATGTAGGAACATGTTCAGTTCATCAGTCGTCGGCAAAACAAGTTCACAGGAGCAGGTCTGACAGCTGGATTTGGTCCAAAACTGGAAAAGTGTCTCTTTTGTTAAAGGTCTTTGTGTTTAGTATAGAACCTCTCTAACAAAGCTCTCCAGATGCTTCCTGGGATCTGTTGGTGTGTGTCGATCAGAGACTGGACAGCCTGCTGCACCTGCACAAAGTAAAAACAAACAATTTATGTCGTGTTTGTTTCTAAATCAAATACAAACATTTTTATATGACCCTCATATTGGTTTCAGTCCAGGTTCATCAACAACATTGACCACACGTTTATATTAATGACCACACATAAAACAGTAATGACGCAGAAACAGCTTTTCTCGAATTAGAAACATTTGTTGGCCGGGAACCGAACACAGGTCAAGCTATGGCTTTGAATGTAGCTATGCCAATGACCAAACCACTAACACTTAACAGTTTGATTCATAACTATTTTCCAGTTGCCCAAGATTTTGCACGTAACGCATCAGACATGGCAAGGATATCTGTTATCAGTCCATTATTTCAGTTTGCTGATGTTTTAGTTAGCTAGGCTAATGGTAGTGCTACGGATGTCACGGTTGGAGGTGAGTGAAAACACCTGACTCATTCTGTTTGAGTGCAGATGGGCGGAACCGGAGAGCAACGAGCCATCTGCTACTCATCAGCAGGCTTCTTAAGGAGCAGGGAGACGCACCTCAGCGCTGGATGATTACTCAATCTTGTTAGAGCTACCTGAGTGTCACGAGTCTTTTTATCTTTGACTATTGTCTCCCGAGCTTCGTTCCGAGTAACCTCACCCTGCTTCTCCCTCTCCTTCAGGTCTATCCTCCACTTTCAGAACCTGCCATAAGACACGGATCCACGCCTGTCTCCCGCTCCAGCCTCTTCTGACCAGCCAGCTCTCTGCCGCCTCCGCACCCTCCCCCCTCTCAGGACTCCGAGGATTTGCCCTGTCTCGCGCTCCTCCTGCCACTCACCAGCCAACCGGACCCTCCTCTCTCCTCTTCTCTCCTCCCTACCCAGAACGCTGGGCCCCAGGATTTTTGGACTATAAAGAACTGAGCTAAGCTCCAAATCGTCACCTACCTTTAACGGTGCTCCTTTAGTTAAGATAATAAATATTATCTGTTTTTTTCTAACCCATCCTCTTGACTCTGAAGTTGATTCTGTATGTCTTGGGTCAGACGGTTAACCCCAATCATGACAACGGAGGTAATGCTAGTTTTGTGTTTGCATTGAACTGAACTAATAAACACCATTATGTATCAGCCTCTGTCTGCATTAATGCTTTATAACCGAATTACACAAGAGGCTGAAAGTAATGGAGCTGAAAGTAAGGCTTTAGCGGTGGGGGCAGATGATTGACACCCATCAAAGTGTGCTACAAGCTAAGTGAGCTAAAACAGCGCTAACCAAAGCTAATGAAGGTTGGAGGTGCTTTTGGCCAGAAAACCGTGGTTGAGCAATTCTGCTACCCTCTGCCTTCTACAGTCACCTAAAGGATTATTAGGAACACCACACTAATACGGTGTCTGACGCCCTTTCGCCTTCAGAACTGCCTTAATTCTACATGGTGTTGATTCAACAAGGTGCTGAAAGTGTTCTTTAGAAATGTTGGCCCATATTGATAGGATAGCATCTTGCAGTTGATGGAGGTTTGTGGGATGCACATCCAGGGCACGAAGCTCCCGTTCCACCACATCCCAACGATGCTCTATCGGGTTGAGATCTGGCGACTGTGGAGGCCGTTGTAGTACAGTCAACTCATCGTCATGTTCAAGAAACCAATTTGAAATGATTGGAGCTTTATGACATGGTGCATTATCCTGCTGGAAGTAGCCATCAGAGGATGGGTACATGGTGGTCATGAAGAAACAATGCTCAGGTAGCCCGTGGCATTTAAACCATGCCCAATTGGCACTAGGGGGCCTAAAGTGTGCCAAGAAATCATCCCCCACACCATTACACCACCACCAGCCTGCACAGTGGTAACAAGGCATGATGGATCCATGTTCTCAATCTGTTTACGGCAAATTCTGACTCTACCATTGGAATGTCTCAACAGAAATCAAGACTCATCAGACCAGGCAACATTTTTCCAGTCTTCAACTGTCCAATTTTGGTGAGCTGGTGTAAATTGTAGCCCCTTTGTCCTGTTTGTAGTAGAGATGAGTGGTACTCAGTGGGGTCTTCTGCTGTTGTAGCCCATCCGCCTCAAGGTTGTGTGTGTTGTGGCTTCACAAATGCTTTACTGCATTCCTCGGTTGTAACGACTGGTTATTTCAGAGAAAGTTGCTCATCTATCAGCTTGAATCAGTCGGCCCATTCTCCTCTGACCTCTAGCATCAACAAGGCATTTTCGCCCACAGGACTGCCGCATACTGGATGTTTTTCCCTTTTCACACCATTCTTTGTAAACCCTAGAAATGGTTGTGTGTGAAAATCCCAGTAACTGTCATGTTCTGTGTCCCTTTGTTCGCCAGCCCCCTCCTGTTCCCACTCCAGGCTCTCCTCTTGTGTCCTCCTAGTCACTCCCTGGTTTTCCTAGTTGTCTTTAGATTAGTTCTCCTCACCCATCTGGTTGTTAGTGGTTTATTTTGCCCTCTGTCTTTTAGGTTTAGTTAGATCCATGTTTTATAGGTTAATGTTTATCTGCCCTCCTGCCAAGCTCTTTCCCTTCCCATTTAGTTAATTGGTTCCACCAGTTTCTCCTCAGCTCACACTCCTCACACCTGTCACCTGTTTCCCTGATTACCTCCCTCTTGTTTATAAGCCTGTGTTTGTTGGTTCATTGCATTCGTCAGCGTGTTCCTGTCCTCCTCATGTCTTATTGTGTTTATTCGCTTGGCAGACGCTTTTATCCAAAGCGACTTAAAATTTCTAACCTGTAGGGCATGTTGTGATCTGTGGGGGAAACCGGAGTACCCGGAGGAAACCCACGCATGCATGGGGAGAACACGCAACTCCACGCAGAAAGGCCGCAGCCGAGTTTTTAACCTGTGACCTTCGTGCTGCGAGGCAACAGTGCTAACCACTGCGCCACCATGCAGCCCCAGTCTTCCTGGTCCATTCCCACGAATGAGTTTTCTGTTTGTTTTCAGTAAGGTAGAGTTCGGTTCATTTTTAGTGCCCTTTTGGATTTTGGCACCTCATCCTTTAAAATATAAGATTTTTTTTTTACTTCTCCTGCCTTGAGTCGTTCTAGGTTCTGCATTTTGGTTTCCTCCTCCTCCATCCTGACCGTGACAGTAACTGAACAGACTGTGAAATACTTAGACCGGTCCGTCTGGCACCAACAACCATGCCATGCTGAAAGTTGCTTAAATCTCCTTTCTTTCCCATTCTGACATTCAGTTTGAAGTTCAGGAGATTGTTTTGACCAGGACAACACCCCTAAATGCATTGAAACAACTGCCATGTGATTGGTTGATTAGATAATTGTATTAAGGAGATGTTGAATAGGTGTTCCTAATAATCCTTTAGGTGAGTGCCCCTGGAGGGGGAAGGGACAAGCCGTTAGGCTTGGCAAGTGGAGTTTGCCACTTGATTCACACTCATGAACCTGCAATCCTCGAGTTATGAGGTGGGCACTTAACTTCTCCGCCACCATCACTGGCCAATGATTTACAGTGATATACAAGTAAAATCACAATCATGTTTTTCTAATGTATAACCTTAGCCCAAATGGCAAAAACGAAGTTCCATTGACAAAAATGTTCCTTAAGAGGCAAAAGGTTGATTTCTATCAACTTACCAAATAAAATTAAAGATGAATTGAAAAGGTAAATGACAGGGAAAAGAAATAAAACAAACAGACTAAAATAGAGAAAAGTTCCTTGATGACAAACTCACCCTTTCTGCTAGTTGTTCAGCACTTGTGTTAGGGTCATACGGAATGGGATCACCAAGGAAAGTTCGGAATTTTACAGGAAATCCTCCATAAACGGGAGCTATTGGCAGACGAAATCTTTCATACAACCAACGAAATAGTCCTGTCAAAGACAAACACAAATTCATACTGTGTTTTAGACAGGTCTCATGTTTCTATTGGAAACAGAATGCCTCTTCAGATCCTCCCCAGAAAGGCAGCAGCCGTCTGAACTAACTGGATCTCAGAGCTCCAGAGCCACCACCTCCGCAGGGATACTAAGGCCTGTCTCACACAGCAGATAAAAACATTCCAATTTTTGACTAGCTCCTCCTCTTCAGTCTAAAGGATGCACATGACTACAGTACTGGCTCTAAAGATAATCTTATCAGATAATCCTACCTTGTGTGGTGTTACTTCTTGTCATTATTTTTTTTTAATATAAGGAAGTTTTATCAACATATTTCAAACATTCAACGACAAACTTCCTGTTTGTAGCGTTAGGGTTGGGGTTATTATCAATTATCAGTTCGTATTATCAATTCAAAACCTACCATTCTCAGTCAGTACACCCCACTCTAGTTTCCTAAGGTTCCCTGTCAAGTTCAGTTTCACCAAGTTGCTACGCACCACACTCCTTACAACCAAAACTGGTATATCCAGGATAATTTATCACCACATTTTGAGCCTTTCACACTTTGAAAATTATGCAATAATCCCGCTGTGTGAACTGGGCTTAACAGGTTTAGTGTTCCTCTGAGGATTCTGTGGTTTGCTGAAGAAATATTAAAATATTTCATGGTTTAAAGGCTTTTATTGACAAAAATATTTAATTAAAAAATAACCGTGCTCAGCAGCCTTGTCAGTGTGCCTCAGGGCAGCTGTGGCTACATTGTAGCTCATCACCATCAGTGTGTGGATGTGTGTGTGAGTGGATGAATGATACACTCTAGTGTAAAGTGCTTTGGAGTCCCTCTAATTCAAAAAGGTGCTATGAAAGGGCAGGTTATTTATCATTTACGATTAAAACAAGGTCAAATCTCAGTTAAATGAGAAGACCCGATGACAGTCATCCATCCATCCATCTTTCTCTGCTAATGTGGGGCCGAGGCACAGGGGCAGCAGCCAAAGCAGAGAGGCCCCGACTGCCCTCACCCCAGTCACTCAAGCCAGCTCCTCCTGGGGAATCCTTAGAAGTCCCCAGGCCAGAAACACAGTCCCTCCAGCGTGTCCTGGGTCTTCTTCTCTGTCTCGTCCTGGTTGGACGTGCCTGAAACACTTCACCAGGGAGGTGTTCAGGAGGCATACTAAGCAGATGCCCGGGCCGCCATAACTAGCTCCTTTTGATGTGCAGAAGCAGTGGATCTACTCTAAGCCCCTTGGCTCGAGAATATGGTATTGGATTAGGAGGTGCCAATTCTCATTTGCCTGATTCTTACTTCACACAGAATAATCCAGCAAATGTAGGACCAAATCATCTCATATCAAAGGACCTGGTACCCCACACTCCTGAAGTGCTCCTCACAGGACACCCAGAGAGACACAGTCAAGGTCCACAAAGCACTTGTTGACTGGCTGTGCAGACTCCCATGTGCCAACTAAGAACCTGCTGAGGTTGTACAGCTGGTTCAGTTTTCCAAGACGAAAACCAAATTGTTCCTCCTAAATTCAAGGTACAACTATTCAGCAGACCCTCCTCTCAAGGACCTCTGAATGGATCTCAGCAGAAGGGCTTAGGAGTGTGATCACCCTGTAATTGGAATACACTCTGTGGTCCCCATTTTTAAATAGGACCACCATTCCAGACTACCAATCCAGGGGAACTGCACCTAACGTCCACGCAATATTGCAGATCCACGTCAACCAACACAGCCCCACAAGATCCAGAGCCTTAAGAAACTCTGTGCAAATCTCATCCACCTCTAGGGCACTGAGAAGCTTTATGACTACCTCGGTGATCTCAACACCAGAGACACAGAGAGCCCAACCCAAAGTCCTGAGATTCTGCTTCCTCTTTGGAAGATGCGTCACTGGAATGAAGAGGTCTTTGAGATACGCTGCCCATCGACTCACAATGTCGAAGTCAGCAGCAAATTATCCCCTCTTAGTGCACTGCTCCCCTCTCCCAATATGCCGGATGGTGAGTAGAATCACCTTCTTCAAGGCTTCACCAAACTCCTTCCATGTCTGGGTTTTACCCTCAGAGATCACTTGAGCAGCATTCTGCTTTAACTCCTGGTACCTATCAGCTGCTTCCAGTGTCCCACAGAAAAAAATACACACAATAGGACTCCTTCTTAAGTAAATAAGTAAGATTCATTAATACCAGACTTTTCACAAATAGAGATACACCACAAAGCCCTGTACAACAAAGGTAAACTCAGGACAGCACATTGTAAACAAGGTAGAGAAAAAATAAAAATGTATCAAATCAGCTTGACCGCATACCTCACTGCCAGTGTCCACTAGTGGGTTTATCACCATGATGGGCACCAACTACCCTGCGACCACAGCTTCGGTCAGTCGCCTCTAAAATGGATGTAGAGACTATGACCCACTCGGACTCAATGACCCCCATCTCCCCCCCGAGCATGTTCAATGCTCTACCGGGGGTGGGACTTTATGCTTCTTCTGACAGAAAGCTCCACCAGACAACCCCAACAGATCCTAACAGTCACAATATGTTTTGTACCTGCCAGGTCTGACCAGCATCCTCCTTCACCAATCAGAGCCAACTCACAGGTAGTGGTCAGTTGACAGCTCTGCCCATTTCTCCATCTGGTGTCCATGAAATGAATCCGCAGATCAGATGAGAAAACAACAAAGTCAATCACTGAGGTGCAGCCCAAGGTATCCTGGTGCAAAGAGCACATATAGACACCCTTACATTTGAACATGATGTATATTACGAGCAATATTTAGCAAGCACAGAAGTCCACTAACAAAACACCAATCAAGTTCAGATTGGGGGGGATTCCTCCCGACCACACCTCTCCAGGTCTCACTGTCACTGCCCACATAAGTGTTAAAGTCCCCCCAGCAGAACACAGGAGTAACCAAAAGGAGCACTCTCCAGCTACTTCAGCCCAGCCCAGGGCAGCTGTGGCTGTTGTAGCTCATCCCCACCAGTGTGTGAATGTGTGTGTGAATGGGTGGATGACTGATTGTGCTGTGAAGCGACTTGGGGGGGTTGTAGGGGGCTTGGTTTATGCTTGACGCATTCACTTTCCGCTTGGTGATGCGGCTCGCGGATGGAACGCGCTTCACAACTTGCAGCGTTTATTGTTCATGTGGCTCGTCTCTGCGGTGAGCCAATATTCTCCCAAACTGTAGGGGGCAGCATGGAGCTCTACTGCATGCATCCAACACTACACCATAGTAGAAGTAAAAATTACTGTTTACAACATGGCATTCCAGCATTTTTAACAGCGTTCTCGTCTTTTCCGACAGTGCGAGCTATTTCTCTCCAAGAATTATTAACAACATGTTGATCACGGTGATCTCTGAGAGCTGAAGCATACAAATGTCTGTATTAACGAACCTCTGCCATACTAGTTCTTGACAGTCCCCCATGTCTTTCCATGTCCGACCATCCGCGTGGTTAGAAAATTTCCTAGGTGCGCGGTGCGGAAAGTTTGGGCTGTGCGGAGGCGCGGTGGAGGGGCGTGGTTGTTAAAATGACGCAACTTTTCCGCGCGGAGCCGTGCGAACATCGCGGACGCGTCAAGCATAAACCAAGAGGTGCTGTACAAATACAGGCCATTTACCATAAGCAGGTAATGTTCAGAATTTCTAAATCCCCCAAGTCCCTCCCTTGCCTCTACAAAACCAATCATTTCTGCGAGTCTAGAGCATTGATGAATAGATTTGTGTATGAACAAGAGGGAGCAGTCAATCAACAAGAATACGTCCCAGTCTCCACAGTGCTACAGCTTAGCACACCAACCTAACTTGAAAGTGGGGAAGGGTAACGAAAAGCGAATAATTACTTTTTGTTGGAGCTATTTTCATTGGGTTTTCAGGCTCTTCTCCTGTGGAACCAGCTTCAGGAAGCAGACACTCCTGTAGGGTTGGCTCAGAAGACTGATGTTTGGTTTTCCAGGTCTAAAACACCGGGAACGTTATTTTTGACCCCAGTGTGCTTTTGTGTTTCTAAACACTCCAGCAGTAAGTCTCCAGTAAAGTAGGTGGTGGAACTGAACACAACATTAACGCAGTCAGTTGCTTTTCTTAGCTGGAATCCTTCTTTATTACCTGGACTGTCTTTTATAGGAATATAAAATAGTGAATGTATTGAGTTCAATTAGAAACTGTATTGTAATAGGACTACATACAAACTTTAAGAAGCTTGATGTGATCACAACAGTCGATGATAATAAAACTCAAACCTCCGTATTTTCCTTTGATGATCAATATTTACCCATTTCATTTATTTTTTCTGATATGCGTGCGTGCGTGTGTGTGTGTGCGTGCATGCGTGTGTGTGTGTGTGTGTCTGCTCTGTCTTCTCGATCCCCAGTGAGTCGTGGAGGATGGCTGCTTATACTGAGCCAGGATTCTCTGGAGGTTTCTTCCTGTTAAAAGGGAGTTTTCCTCTCCACTGTCGCTAAATGCTTGCTTGGTATGAGGATTGCTGTATAGTCCCTGACGCTAGTCAGTGACTTGATGCAATTTGCTGGGTTCCTTATATAGGAAACATTATTTCTGATTGGCTTAATGAACTGACCTGAATTGGAATGTTTATTATGTGAAGTGCCTTGAGACGACTCTTGTCGTGATTTGGCGCTATATAAATAAACTTGAATTGAATTGAATTGAATATGCTTGCTAACTCAAGATTATTGTGTTTAATTTAAAAAATCTAAAATTCTTCATATAACATTTCATCTGAGTGGTGGAAAACCTTTTTGCAGTACGCTCAACATTATAACACACAAAATGTGTTTCTTGATAAACACTTCTGAACTTAAATGAACACAAAGAATAGCTGAGAAAATATATCAGGTATCAACAAAGTGCAACTTTGACGAGTTTAAACTTTAAAATCATACATTCACAACAATCATGAAACTTGATTGCAAAAATTGCTTTAAAACTCATGCAATTTAACGTAAAATTTCCTCAAAAAACCTGAAAAAGATTAAACAAATTAGCCAAAGCAGACCTCTAAAGGCCATGAAGAAGAGATGCAACACATTTTCCGCACTTACTTAATGTTCCGAGGGATCTGAATCCTTCTCTTAGATTCTGAGTGAACATTGGGATTACTGGCTGAAACAGAAAGAACATCAGAAGAGATGACTTTGATCACCAGATTTTAAATGTGAATTCTTTGTGATAGGGTTGGGTTTGACCTTAGAGCCGACTGTCATCATAAGCTTGCTGAAGAACCATCAAACAAGACCACTTTTTGGGATGGAATCAGGGTCCGAATTTAAATTTTTTACTCACCGGCCAAGCATATTTTTTACCGGCCAAAATTCTAAATGATTTAGATCTACCTAAAGCATGTAATTCTATATTATGTTGATTCCAAACAGAGTGACAAAATAATTCAAACGTCAATTAATAAGGAAAACAACTCTTTTGTCATTTTTACTATTTATTTATTTTTAGAGATGTTTTTATGAACTCTTTCATTGAAATCTAGTCAGACTCCTTGTTTTCTCTGTCCATGAAGTCTGGCCTCCTGCTTCTGACACCGTCTTTGTGCCAAAGCATTACAGCCTCATTTGGGTCATAGTCCTTGATCTCTGGAGAACACAGCTGCGCCATGAGAATATCTGAAAGTGTGTCAGGGCTAGGGTTGTCACGGTAACCGGTGTAGCGGTAAACCCCGGTAAAAAAGTTGACAATAATAATATCCATCTTGTTTAAAAAAAAATTATCTCGGTGGATTACCGTGGCTGCGGTGTAGGCGCGGTGACCCTTACCAGCCACCGTATCATCTGGAAGTTGCCGGCGGCACATGCGCACTTTGTTGTTTACGACCAAAACTTTCTTTAAGCTAAAGCTGAAATAATGGCCAGAGGAGGAGACGGCAGCACTCGGCAAATTTATTATCCCTCAAAGAAGACAAAGTCGGAAGTATGGGCATTTTTTGGATATTTGAAGAATGCCGAGGGCCAGTTGTCTCTGAAACGCAGCAACGCTACATGGCCATCATAATGTAGCCATTGTCTCACGACTCCGCCGTCTCCAGTTCGCCACTTTTCACAAAATCTTCTGGTTGCCACTGGTCCTGGTGGTTTTTCTTCCAGTTCGACGAGTTTTCTTTTGGAAGGCTGGCTGACTCCAGTTAAAAACCACCATATTTCACCGCTAGTTTTAACACGAAGCTAACTGCTAACTTGATAAACTGATTGAATGGGATAGGTGGAAATGACGTTGGATGCGGCGTTCACGTTTCGCGTAAGTTGCATGCAGGCGGGAGGAGTATCAGAAATCCGTGGAAGATGACTGATAAACATAACTAATTTGGTGCAAACATTTACTCGTCAGGTGGCAGGTAGAGCTCAAAAATTTGCTCGCCAAATGGAGCAATTTACTCGCATTTGGCGAGTGGCGAGTGTTAATTTCGGACCCTGGATGGAATATAAAGACTATTATAGGAAAACAAGCATGAGGTACCAGGTCCTTTGATACGGGCTGTTAGGTCCCTGTATGACCGGTGTCAGAGCTTGGTCCCCATTGCCGGCGGTAAGTCAGGCTCATTTCTGGTGAGAGTTGGACTCCGCCAAGGCTGCTTTGTCACTGATTCTGTTTATAACTTATATGGACAGGATTTTGGTGCAGCAAAGTTGTTGAGGGGATCTATTTTGGTGGCCTAAGGATCAGGTTTCTGCTTTTTGCAGATGATGTGGTCCTGTTGGCTCCATCAGAATGCAATCTCCATCTTTCACTGGAGCGGTTTGCAGCCGAGTGTGAAGCAGCTGGGATGAGAATCAGCTCCTCTAAATCTGAGACCATGGTTTTGAGTCGGAAAAGGGTAGAATGCCTTCTCCGGGTCAGGGATGAGGTCCTGCATAAATGACGCCACCAACGTTCTGTTTGGGTGTTTAGACTTTTGGATGGACCAATTTCTGTCTGAGGGTGTTGTTGGGTTTAAAGTTTACCAGGATGTTGTGTTTGGAGAAGACTCTTCTAAGTTTCTTTGAGACTCCTGCCACATTTGGGATGATGGCGCCTTTGTGCCTGTTGTCCTTTTCATTGCTGGTTGCTGCTTTGGAAGCTTTTCCAGACTTCTTTGAAGATTTCACAAAGGCCCAGTTAGGGTATCTGCAATTTTGGAGAGCTTTCTTGATGTGTTTTTCTTCCTTTTGTTTTCCTTCAGTCTTTGTAGGAATGTTCTCGGCCCGATGGTGTAAAGCCCTGATGACTGACATTTTGTGCTCCAGTGGGTGATATGAGTCGAAATGTAAATACTGGTCTGTGTGAGATGGTTTCCTGTAGACATCAATGCATTGAATGCCTCTATACAGGAAAAACGATCAACTGTGACTTTGTTTTTACCTGTTTGTACCCAAGCCAAAGACCAGAACCAAACAGCATTACTAACTAGTAATTTATACAAATAAATATAATTTAAATGGACTCAAACATGTTGGTGCTTAAGAACCAGATAATTAGGAGACTTTTAAAATAAAAAGTGGCTTCTAATACTTAAAAAATTGGAATAACGCACCACTTGAGAGTCAATGGCAACCTGTGCAAAACCTTTGCGTTTGCCCCACAGAAGAGGGTAGGTCTCATCGCTAAAAAGAGCCTCCCGCACTCCGCCAGGAGAGATCCCCAGCAGGTGACCGTTCTTCAGAGCACGCACACACTCCTCTTGAGGACCATGTATCACACTGAACACCTCCAGCAGCGGTTTGAAACCTAGAAGAAAATCAGCATCTGCTTTAGTTACTAAAATACTGCTTAACAAAACTGTTTTCATTCATGACCAACGTTCTTAAGGCATGCTTTCCCGGGGGAATTTAAAAAAGACTAACTTTCTTCTGGACCATGCAATAAACATTGAAGCAGAAATAGAAAATTTATTAAGCCTATTTTTGCCACCTTCATAGAAAATTTGTTTGCAAAACTTCATCCCTACTGGAGATTTCACAGTCAGTGAAACTGATTCAAATATTACTCACAGGCAGAGAGGCAGATGAGGGGCGGGACTAACCAGCTCAAAAATAACCAATCAGAAAAAAGGCAGAAATGCAGACTGTACTGCACGACGTTGTAGTTTTTTTTTTTTTTTTTTTTTTTTTTTTACTTAGACGTAGATTGGTCCCGCGTGGCCGCTACTGCCTATGGGCGCTGACAAGCGCTGGCGCCGCGATCTTGGATCGGTCTACTAGTAAAGACGTTCTCTGTTACTTCCTGGACGCTAAACAAAAACAGCCTTCGCCACCATGAGTCGAGATGGGTGAGTCCATAAATGTTAAGTGACAGTGTGACATAGATCTGTCAGGCTTTTCTAATCCTAGAGTTTCACCGTCTATTTTCTATCAGAAGCTGATGCAGGAGGTAGGTGTAGGAGACTATTTTCATGTTCAGAACATGAAAAACTCAGTGATTGATTATCAGAAATAATAACTAAAAACTGATTTTTCAGTGTTCCACACCTTTAATTGTATTTGCCTAAAATCTATTTTGGAGTTTCTGTAAAAAGACAAAAAGTTTTAACTGTTCGGGGTTAGCACTGAAGGATGGAGACACCTTAATGAATTAAGATGATAAATTCCTGCTAGTGCAGTTGTTATTATGAATGTTACTTATAATTTCTACTTGTTCATCTTTACAAATGTCATGAGTGAGAACATTATTTGGACAAGGATCAATTATATTATTGCTATGTAGAACAGGAATTACAGAGAGGTGTTGTTGATTAAATGTCAAAATGGCTTGCCGTACATCATGTTGTAGACAGATACAGGTAAACGTAGAACAACACAATATGAACGTTGTTCACTGGATTGTTCTAATATTAATGTTAAATCTATTCAGTCACTAACGTAATCTGACTATATGGTGTGAAGTATGTTATGTGGAATGTGTTAAACTGAATTTGTCTATGCTTAGTGGATGCCAGTTTGGTTTGGGCCAGCTTTAAAGGAGACATAACATGCTTTTAAGTTATTCCTTTTTACATCTAAATCCTTCAGTTGGGGTCTAAATACAGTGGAACTGCAGTTCTTTGGTCTGATTTCCTCATTATTGTTGCTCTACAGACCCTCATCTACCCCTGTTCTGAGGAGAGTCTTGAGAACGAGCCGTTTTGGGTACTGTCTCTTTAAACTGGAGGAGGAGCTGTAAACTCCGCCCCCCTCCATAGTGCAGACCTGTTCTCTCCTCCCCCAGCCGGACTTTGTAGTTCTATAGAGAAATCATTATTTAGCATAGCAGATTTAGCATAGCATATTAGCATTTTTAAAACATGTGGGGAGGGTAGTTCATCAAGCTGTTTCAAGGCTGCTAACTCTCTCATGCATTTGTCTGTAGTCACTCACACACACCCGTCACTGCCGACGGAGGGACCAGCTAGCAGGCACGTGCGCGCGCACGCGCACACACACACACACACAAGGAATGCTGCTTGCTTATTTATTTCTATAAAAAATGTTTTAAAAAATGATACAGCTCATTAAAACACCATTAAAAGAATACATTTTATTAAGATCTCTATCTATATATATACATACATATAATTATAAATAATTTTATAAGTAGTCTTATTTTATATTGGGTGTCTTAATGGCTGAAAATGGATAAAAAGCAGTTACATTTTAATTTAAAGATTTGAGATTCGAGTCAAAAATAAAGAACATTCCTCCAAATGTTCTTTAATGTGATCATTATAATTCTAATGCTTACAACTTTGTTTTTATTGTCTGCAATGCGTAGCCTATATCTTTATTAAATATGTGTTTAGCTGTAAAGTGGTAATTCTCTCTAATGTGTACAGAGAGGTGGACATCAGTGCTGCAGTGAAATTCCCAGGATCAGTCTGCTTTGCTAACAAATATAGTTAAATCTGACCTGCATTCTAAATAAATACCGTTAGGTGGAAACATCAGTAGGCATTGAGTTATTGATACAATCCCTAACAGCCAGAATGGAAGAAGAGCATGCTGGGTCATCCTGGACCTGAGCCTGTTCTGTGTATTTACCTACAGGATGCAATAAATGTCTACAAGGCTGAGTTTGGACCATTACATCTAAAAGAAAACATACAATCAGTGATTTTTTTAATTGTTTACATTAATATACAAATTTTTGTAAGTATTAACCTCACAGCAAATAAGTAGAACAATATAATAAACAGGCTTTAGTAGTTAAACAGGCGTTGTGCACACAGGTGCTTTGTGTCTCGGTGCTGGTGGTGTCTAGGTCTCAGAGTTCCTGCCCTCCTGCCGTCTTCTGTTGTCCTCAGGATACGGATTGATGTTTCCTGATGATGAGGGAGGGGCAGTATGTGGGCTTCAAACTGGTCCTGGATAACAGTGGGAGACCTCTGTTGTCTCTGAGACCAGAGGGTTGGTGAGATGCAGATCTTCTCTACCTCATCTAGAAACGGAGTTGGTTCAGGGAAAACTTTTCCAAAGACCAGTTCCATGATGTCATCGCCATATTCTGCAATGATAGACAATAACTTTAATGACATATTTTGTTTACAAGCAGCTTTAGGAAAGTTGTTTCTTTAGCTTTCATGTTTATAGTCACGTTTGTGTTTGTTCACAAGTTCACTTTGCTGCAGTGACTTCATATTCTTACAAATGTAATAAAATAGTGACACTAAAATTATACAAATGATTCCTTATGAAAGGAAGCTCATTAGAGAGCAGCGCAGACAGACTTACTACATGCTGCAGCTGTTTTTACAGGCCAGCTGCTGCTGAATTTGGGGAAAGTTATTCTGCACACATCCAGATCAGATGGTCGATTACAGAAAATAATGTAATTCAATAATTTCTAAACAGATTAAACAAGTAAAACGTCAAATAAATCACTCTGCTGTCATCAGACGGAGTGATTCAGGGGGTGAGGTGTTCTTAATGATGAGAAGGCTGAGGTGTGTCATCACTCACTTTGGTCTGGTCCAGCTACCATCTCTTTACTGGTGGGTCTCCTTCCTCAGTAGGTGATGTGAAATGCCAACATCTGAACGTTCTGTGTTCCTTAGAGGAGAAGAAAAGTAACATTAGCAAGCTGGCTAAATTATTTTTTACTAGCATCTGGGAGAAGCAGATCTTCACTTACCTAAACATCAGACCAGTTTGTCCCAGCTGAGCTCATCAGGGCTTTAGTCTGACAGCCTGTCAGTGAAACACGGCTCCAGTCTTCTGGATGTTGACTCTAAAAAGCAAAGGAGCATTTTTACTTTTGTTTTACAGCCGATTTTATCAGCTTTCCGACGCTCACGCTCATACAGACGGTGAGCTTTGCTGCGTCTGACTGATAAAGTTAGTTTTTATATCTGCAGTGAGACAAAAAACTAACCTCACTCCACTCAGAGATTGTTCTTTAAAACTATTAAATCCACTGTGTTGACGCACTTTAATGACTTTGTCACGCTGCATTTTAGCTGATATGGGACTTTATTTACTGGATGCTAAGATTACATCACACTCACGTAGAATAACACACAGGCTCTCTGCTGTTACAATCAGTGGGAGGTTATCATCTGGTGTAAAAGAAGGCGTTGATCAGAAATCACGTTTTATTCCACGAAAATCAGCCAAATCCACATTGATCTGGGTGCTAACTTTACTAGCATACTGTGCTAGCGATAGCAAGCCGGATGCTAACGCTTTAGTGCTGCTAATGCCCGTAAATCTAAAGTAAAGTTTGTCGACATTTTAGAGTGATATGAAGCTTACCGCTCTGCTGCTGTGTCCCGGTGCTGCCACATTCAGATGCAAATGACTCCTTTTAGATAGATGAAGCCCTCAGTACTTACTAGCCTGGGAGACACGAACGAACGAACCACGCGCGCACACACACACACACACACACACACACACACACACACACACACACACACACACACACACACACAAACACACTACTTTTTCTTCTGTGTTTTTTTAGCAGTAGTGTCATCAGCTCCTGGGTTTAAATACTGCCACACCACCCTTCCTTAAAACGAGGAACAGTTTTGAGCTGTGTGTGGCTAAAATAACCAGACATTCTGCATTTTTCCAATAGGACTACAAAAAATCTTAGCGAGAAGAAAAAATGGCGGATTGGCTCTGTGTTTAGCCGAGGGCCATTACCATATTTGGTAGTTATCCTGACTAAATTAATTACTGACGTAATGGATAATGTAAAAACTGAACGGGTGGACAAATATGCCCAAAACTTAATTATTAAATATCTAAATAGCAACTCCAGTGAATAATATAAGCCTTTTTGCTCACTTAGACACTTAAAATGTGAAACACACTGTGTTAATGGATAAAAAAGTGGGTTTTTCATGTTATGTCTCCTTTAATAATCTGCTCCAATCATCCTCTGTGTAGCTACAACCCGAGTCGGCCTCCCACCTCATTTTGTTTGAGGGTCTTGCATAAGCTGGTAAATTATCAATCACTGTTTTATAAACAGCAGATATTAATCCTTTAGATCCTTTCCACTTTGGATCAAAAAGGTACTTTCTAGTAGGGTTTCCTCAGGTCTATGTGGGAAGTGATCTTTGGTTTGACTCTTAATCCAACTCCTAATCTGTAGATATTTGAAGAAGTTATGCCACTCAATATTATATAGTACTGACATTTGGTCAAAACTTAAAAAGCTATTGTTGGTGTAGAGATTGTCAACAGTATTGATACCCTTCCTTGTCCACTCTTGTAATATCCCGTCCGCTAAGCCTGTTGGAATGTTGGGGTTCATGACCAGTGTTGGGCAAGTTACTTCAAAACTGTAATGCATTATTTATTACTTGTTACCCTCATTTTAAAGTAATTCATTACATTACAATATTACTGATTTTAAAATGTAAGGCATTACACTACTTTTGCATTACTTTAAGTTACTTTCACCAACACAACTTCAGTATGAATCTGGTAATCTGACGCTCAGTGAGCTCATGACATAAATGTGGAAAGTGATGTGGTGTCTGAGCTAGGATTGCTGTTAAAAACAGTCAGATATAATAACAGTGCTTTAAAATGATTGTTTATTAAATAAAAGCAACAACAATCTGTACTCTCAGCACGCTGCCATCTTACATTAACTGAGCAGGGAGTGAGGTGGTGGGGGCTCCAAGCCTATATTTGCCTTGGTCCCCAAATGCCTTGATACGGCCCTGGATGTGGCACTGACTTCTGTGGTGATCTGATTCTATCACATGTGTAAATATTAAATGCTTATATACTATTGCTTTTCACTGGTAAAAATGTGTATTGGGGATAAATCTACCTACTTTTTTCTTTTTTTCTTGATTTTATTTGAATAATTTCCAGCCCTTTCTCTCTCTAACCTTCCTGCATGCTGCATGTTTTCTCCGTCTTCCAGAAAAAACTGTTTCCTAGACTTCCTACTTTCTAACGATCAGCCAGAGGGATCTTCACATGCGCGGCGCTCCAGCAGTAATGAGTTGAAATCACCGGGGCACAGATTATGAACTCAGCTGAGGCAAAGCACGTCAGAAAAGCACAAAATACCAGAGAATATGCGCTGATATGAACGATCGCAAGTGAATTATTTTGTTTTAGTGGAGCGATTTTGTGAATGTTACTGCGGCCGCGTGCAGGACGCAGCTGAGCCGTTACTGCGGCGTCCTCTCTGCCCGCAAAGCTGAGTCCATAAATGACGTAATATATGCAGATACTGGATCTTTCTTCGGGTTTCCCGCAATTTGAATTTTTAAGGAACACATCTTGATTCTGGGTTTAAAAATGCATTGTAATTACCGCGTTACTGACAATTGTACCGAGTAAATATTACCATTTTCTTTCCCTGTAATGCCTTACATTACCACATTACAGCAAAAACCAATGCATTACAGTAATTAATTACTTTTGTACCGCATTACTCCCAACACTGTTCATGAGTGGTGAATTCACCAATAGTTTGGTATTCTGTCCTACTAACAAGTGTAACTGTCGCCAGGCTTCAAATGTGGCAGAAATAATTGGGTTTAGCGTGATTGATTTTAGTCTCTCCTTAGAACCCAAAAAAGGTACTACTCTTAGTTTACCCTGTGATTCATGCTGCTCGACTGGCATCCACCTCACCTCGTCTGTCCCACAATGAGACCACACCCATAATGCTCGAAGCTGAGCAGCCAAATAATATAGTCTAAAATTTGGGAGGTTCAAGCCTCCCTAGCTGTACGGCGTTTGTAATTTCACAAGTTTAACCCTAGGTGTTTTCTTGTTCCACAGGAATGTGGTAAGCAACTCATCCAAATCCTTAAAAATAAAGGAACCTTTAGAGGTATACAGCGAAATAGATAAATAAATTTGGGTGACAAATTCATTTTGATTGTGATAATCCTACCTATCAATGATAAAGGAAGATTCACCCATCTGTTCAACTCCAATTTGGATTTAGCAATAAGTGAAGCGTAATTTTCTTCAAAAGTCTCATCATAAGACCTGCAGATATTAATCCTCAAGTATTTGAACCCTTTTGTGCACCATTTAAATGGTACTGGTAGCATACTAATACACTGACTTGTCAAGTTAATCGGAAAGGCTTCACTCTTGGAATAACTAATTTTATAACTTGATACTTCACTATATTTCTTGAGGTTAGCTATTAGTGAGGGGAATGAGGTGGAAGTTCGGGATATGAACACTAATAGGTCGTCCGCATAAAGGGCAAGTTTATGTTCCATCAAGCCAATTTTAATACCAATGATAGACGTTTCCGAGCGCAGGGCGATGGTCAGGGATTCGATTGCAATCGAGAAGAGCGCAGGTGAGGACGGGCACCGCTGGCGCCATCCACGTGTTAAGGAGAAGACATCCGACAGAATTCGTTAGAATTTGTGACCTAGGGGCATGGAACAAGGTTTTGACAGTCCGAAGAAAGTTTTCCCCAAAATTCATGGCCCTCATTGTCTGAAAAAGAAATCTCGGTTCTATCCTGTCGAACGCCTTCTCTGCATCTATGGATACAACCGCCACAGCGTCATCATGTTTTTGTGCATATTCTATAATGCGAAGCAGATGCCGGACATTATCTGCTCTGTTACGGTTGCCAGTATGGCCAGTGAAGAGCAGGAGCCAGGATCGTCCAGCTCTAGTGAATGAGCCCGACACCGCCCCTCCTCCTCCTCTCTCCCGGGCTGCTGAGGAGCACAGCTGAGCTAAATCTTCCTGATGAGCAAACACCTGCATAAAAGGGCCGTGCCTTCAGCAGTCTGGGAGGCGGCAGTGCAGGGGTTCTGCTGTCCTCCTGGGTTTTGTTTGGTTTTGACCCCTTTTTGGTTGCATTCGTTTGGATTCGTTGGAGTTTTAAACTGTGGTAGTTTTTAACTCTTGGTGATACGTTTTTAAATGGTTAACTGTATTTGGTGCAATTTGACTGACTTTGGTTTTTAAACACCTTCGTGTGGTAAAGCTTTTAAAATAAGCTTTTACCAGGTGTTTTAATCAGTAAATTGTTTGGGGCTTTTTATCAACTTTGGGATTTTAAAACACCTTCTGCTCGGTTAAACTTTTAATATAAGTTTTAACCAGGTGTTTTATAGTTGATAATTTGGCTGTGTAATGTTAACCTTTTTAGAGAGATCTGTTTGCTTGTGTTTTTAATACCTTTTTGTTACAAATAAACCCATTTTAAACTCCTCCACCAGTTCTTACGTTACCCCCATCCTTCACATTCTTACAACACCTGTCGGGGACATAACATGCTCCCTGTCGATTTTTTTTTAAATAAAACCGGTTTGGTCTGCGTTACTAATTTTTGGCACGATTTTCTCCAACCGTGAAGCAATATTTTTAAATACAATTTTATAGTCAGTGTTACGGCCGCCGCCGTTTGGGAGCCCCAGTGTGCTGAAATTCCATTCAGTTTAATGACCGACGCAGCAGCAGCGCAGCACCACGGACAGCTACTCCTTGGGATGCTGTCCTCACTCCAGCACCATGGACAGCGCCATAGCAGCATTCACGCCAGCTGGAACTTTTCATCTCATCAGCTGGCTCTTTAAAAGCGGCCAGCTGGAGATCATCAGGGGAGAGAAATGTTTGTAGTTGCAGAGGCAACGTGTGTTCTCTCCCCGTTGGTGGTTACCTGAGATTTTGTGGTGTAAACCAGTTTGTCTACTTCTTAAGAAGTGACTTTTGAACATTTAGAGTGTTTGGGATTATTTGAGTTAACTGGTAAATCTTTGGTTTTTGGTGTGTCTGCTAGACCACCTTGTGGATAAATTACCAGGTGGGGTTTTCCCCTTTTGAAGTCTCAGTTTCCTGAGCTATATTTTTGGTGTTTTGGCAACTTTAGTTAATTTAGTATTTGGTTTGTCTTTTAGACAAACCTTGTTTAATTACTTGGTGGGATTTTTTTGCCTCTTTTGAGTTTCAATTCCTTTTTAAATAAAGGAGATTAATTAGAGCGGTTGGTCCTTTGGACCTTTTTAGTTAATTATATAGACGTTTCGTTGGTAACTACTAGGAAAGGGTTTTTTGGCCCTTCTTTTGGTTCTTTTTTTTTGGTAATAAACTCTTTGAAAACACAAGGACACTTTGAGTTTGGTTTTGCTTGGTCAAGCCTTTTTCTCCCCAACGAGGGTCACTTTTTGTTATACTGGTCCCTCTTATGTTTATTCCCCTCTCCTCCCTAGCTGAGCCCACAGAGGGGTGTAACAGTCAGCATTAAGAAGGCTTAGGGGTCTATAGTTGTTGCACATTCGTGGGTCCTTTCCGGGTTTAGGAAGTAGTGTGATAGTTGCTAGTTCTAATGATTCGGGAAGCCGTTCTTTTTGAAATGCTTCTTTGATCATGTTTGTTATACGTGTTAATATTTTTTGGAGAAGGTTTAAATATATTCAACTGGATACCCGTCAGGTCCCGGGGCCTTATTATTTTGTAAGGACATCATCACCCTGCTAACTTCCTCCTCTGATATCTCAGCATCAAGTACTTTTTGTCTGCTTCAGTTAGTGTGGGATGAGATAACTTATTCAGAAAGCCTTCAATTTCAACATCCGATATCCGTTCTGAGTTATATAATGTTTCATAATATTTTTTAAATTCAGAGTTTATATCTATTGAACAGTCTACATATTGCTCATCATCAATTTTAATGCTTTTAATGAATTTATTTGCATCTTCTCGTTTTAGTTGCCAGGCGAGTAACCTACTAGTTTTGTTACCTGACTCATAGTAATGATATTTGGTTCTCGCCATGGCAGCCTCAGCTTTACCAGTACAAAGGTTATCATACAAAGTTTCCTTTAGTTTTAATGTACTGAGAGTCTTAGATTCTTTTGTTTGCACATGTTGAGTTTCTAATCTTTTTATTTCATTTTCTAGTTGTGATCATTTTTCCCTTCTCTGTCTATTGTTGCTTGATAAATATGAGATGATGTGCCTTTAGGGCCTCCCAGATGATAGTGTGAGAGGCGGTATTTAGGTTAGTGTCCAAATATAAATCCAGCTTGTCACTCATAAAAGTTATGAAGTCAGGATCATTTAGGAGATGTGTTTTAAATCTCCGTCTGTGGGAGACACGACTAGCCTGTGGGATCCATTACTAGAGCATTGTGATCTGACAGGGATGCAGGTAGGTAAAAGCAGGTCTTTACTTGGGGTAATAATGTTTGTGAGGCTAGAAACATGTCGATTCGGGAATATGAACTGTGGACATTAGAGTAGAAGGAGAATTCCTGCTAATGTCTTTTATTATTTGTGGTGTTGGAGACGTCTTCATGTTGGGTTACCTGCAGCATTTCACACCGGGGTTAATAGTCAAACCGGTTAATCCTTGCAACCCTAGATCTAGCATTTCTCCTTCAACTTTGTCTCTGCCTGTCCTGACTCCAGACTGGCCACTGCTGCAGTGCCACACTCTTGGTCTGCAGATAATGCCTCCTTTTGGTGCATTTTTCAAAGAGGAAGTGTGGGTGGAGTAAGACTCTGATGGGGGGTGACTTGTTCTTTAAAAACTTTTTAAATCTTGACGCCTCTCTCCATAGCAGCTTCAGACCCATCTCTAAACTTCCGTTCATCTCCAAGATCTTGGAAAAGGTTGTGGCTAAACAACTCACAGCTGCTCTTTATGAACATAACATCTATGATAGCTTCCAGTCAGGTTTTCGTAGAGCTCATTCTACTGAAACGGCTCTTCTTAAGGTCTCTAATGACCTTCTGACTCACAGTGATGCAGGGGACTGTTCTGTTCTGGTCCTGCTGGACCTGACTGCAGCCTTTGGCACTGTTGATCAGCAACTAGTACTGGGTAGGCTGAAACACTGGGTAGGCCTATTAGGAACTGCACTGGAGTGGCTTTCCTCTTTTCTCTCTGAGTGTTTATTCTCTGAAGCTGCAAGTTTCAGTCCTTCTCCACCTTCCTCGTCCATGGTGTCCCACAAGTTTCTGTGTTGGGGCAACTGTTGTTCCTTCTTTATCTGCTCCCTCTCCAGCACATTCAGAGTTTTCTTTTAAATAATCTCCTCCCATCTTTGTGCAGATGACATGTAACTGCCCATCCCCTTTAAGCTCCATTAGTTTAATATAAATCTTTAACTTGTATGTTGTATCCAATCCTAACTAAAGTACTGACCCGTTTCAGAAATGAAACCTGTCCTCAGTAAATGGATACACAGGATGTTAAGATTGCTGTAATTAACCTCTATTTAAGAAACAATCCTCCATCAAGATTATCTTATAAATTAGAGCAATATCTAATCCTAATCATCTTCTTTTTCTTTATTTAACACAGTGAAGTAATTAGATATTATTTTACCTTTGGCTGACATGTTTCTGCCGGAACATCCACCTTGGTCAGAGCCGCCAGCTGTTCGTGGCGTCACATCTGTTTACGTGCGGGCGGCAAAGGACGATGTCGCCCTCTACTGCCCACATCCTTCACGCTGCTAACATCGTCCCATGTGTGATCCAACACGACAATAAACGGATGTGACGCCACGAACAGCTGGCGGCTCTGACCAAGGCGGAAGTTCCGGCAGAAACATGCCAGCCGAAGGTAAAGAAACATCTAATTACTTCACTGTGTTAAATAAGAAAAAAGAAGATAATTATGAATCAACACACAGAATGAACATACAGAAGAATATCTAATCTTCCATTCTCATCTTAAGTCCTTGAGAAGCTAGTGGCTAATAAGATATGCGAGGATCAAAACAGTAATGATCTGTGTGAGGAGTATCAAGTTCTGACTGGGGGGGCATTCCTCCCAACCACACCCCTCCAGGTCTCACTGTCAATGCCCACATGAGTGTTGAAGTCCCACAGCAGAGCAAGGGAGTAACCAAAAGGAGCACTCTCCAGCAACTCCTTCAAGAAGCCCAGAAATGGTGCATAGGTACAAACGAGTCAGGAGGTTAGTGGACGTCAAAAATGACATTCTCATGGCCTCAGATAAAGATCTTGTGTCAGTTCTGATCTTCTTAGATCTAAGTGCTGATTTTGACACAGTTGATCACAAAATTGTCTTAGGAAGGCTTGAGGAGTCATCCTAACCAGATGCCGAACTACCTCAACTGGCTCTTCTCAAAGTTGGGGAGCAGCGGATCTACTCCGAGCCCCTCCCGGAGGACCGGAATTCTCACCCTATCTCTAAAGCCGGGCGTACACTGTGCGACTTTTTCACTTTTTTGAGCCGATTTTCCAGTCGTGCGAGAAGCCACGACATCGGGGCGAGTTTAGCGCCGAGCGGTCGTGTAGTGTACAGGGGGTTACGAGAGGCGATTAACACCACGTGACCAGCCGCCGATCAGCAGTCGTGAGCTCGCAGGGACTTCTGGTGTGTTTAATATTTCGCTCGTCCCTCGTGAGGGTATCGCACTGTTGAAGCGGCGCTGCGAGCAGCTGCGAGCAGCTACGATCCAAAAAGTATCAGAACCGCTCACGGCGCATGCGCGCGCGATCCTGCATCAACGCCGGCCGGTCGCTCGCTATTTCCCTATTAACAGACGCTGTTCGTTTTTGTTTCTACACGTTTTTTTACTCACAAAGATTGTCAAGAAAGCGTGTTTGTCGTGTTCATGTCAAATAAACTGATCACAAAACACAGATTTACTTTCTTTATTTCGTTTTCCTCATCCAACCCCCATAAATCCCTGTGTGTCCTCCTGCAGCACTCCCGAAGGACAACAGGCAAGACAAAAAAGTCTGACGTGTTGAGTAAAAACTGCTATTTTTAGCACATTTTTAGGGCCGACGTGTTGCTACCAGACGTACAGTGTGAGCAGTCAGGTCGCATCCGAGAACTGGGTTGTGCAGTGTGAGCGCATGACTCGTGAGATCTGCTCTGCGAGGAAGTCGTACAGTTTGAGCTGAAGCTGAACGCTGCGAGTGAAAAAGTCGCACAGTGTCCGCCCGGCTTAAGGGAGAGCCCAGCCGCCCTGCGGAGAAAACTAATTTCAGCCGCTTGTATCAATGATCTCGTTCTTTCAGCCACTACCCAAAGCTCTTGACCCCAGGTGAGAGTTCGTAGATCGACCTTTGAATGGAGAACTTCGCTTTCTGGCTCAGCTCTCTCACAAACAAAAGCATGTAAATGTGTGTGTGTGTGTGTGTGTGTGTGTGTACCAGGGATCTTGAAGAGGAAGTGGTCGGCTACAGAGTGGCAGGTTCTTCCTTTCTGAATAATAACGGAGGCCAGGAAGTAGTAGTAGTCAATGGGAATGGCTCCATGATAGTACACTATCAGAGCTGGTCCTTCATCAGGGATCTTCTCCATGCCGTGAATCTCATAGCCTGGTACACAAGACACAGTACAAAGACCATCAATTACAGCAGCACATGCAATGTCTAAATATCCAATTGGAATCATTTCCTTTATTACATCATAAATAACCATCATCTGAACTGCTTTATCATCACTAGGGTCACGGGCAGCTGGTGAGGGGCACCGGGTGAGGGGCAGGGGGACACACTGAACACCACAGGGACACAGAGTCAAACAACTAGTTGCACACTCACTCACACCTAGGGACAAGTTAGAGTCTCCAATAACCCGACATGCATGGTTTTGGTCTGTGGGAGGAAGCTGGATTCCCCAGAGAACACCCACACATTCATGGGGAGAACACGGAAAGGCACGAAGAGTCACTATGGAAAGCCGTGGTGGAAAGGTGCGCTCAAACATGAGAAAACATCCCCGCAAAAAGAATAAGTGCAAAGGCCAGTGTAAAGTTTAGGGAACAGCTTTCTGTGAGTTTTGTCAGCACACGACTGGCAGGTGGATGAACGCTTACCGATGGAGCGAGCTAGCAAAACTGACGCCTGTTAGCTCTAGAAATGTACTGGCTGTATATTTATATTGATACAAACGTCACTGGGTCTTGTAACAGAATGAAATGACTGTTTCCACCACAAGTCATTTCCCCCTCTCCTCTGACACAGAACTAGTCTGCATGAGATATGGCCTCAAGGTCTCATGCATTTGCTATAAACTGCTTTCTTTCCAGCTCAAGAGAAGAATGAAGAATGGACTCTCTCCTTTTAATAAATCAAAGAACTCTATTTTTAATAAGCTAATCAAACAAAGTGTTAGTCAATAATACGATGTGACCAATCTGTGAAATCAAAATATTAATTACTTTATTATAATCCTATAGAATATGATAAGTAATATGACTTTAAATGTTTCCACTAGGACTGATCTCACGTAGCGTTAAGAGACGACACATTGCTTTACTGATCCAATCAGAATCTGCCAGATCTGACGGAGGCGTGGTTTTGGTGGTGTTTGGTAAGTCTGTCATCTTTTCATTCGACCATAAACCAAAACATCCGAAGTATAAAACTATGCCCACGTCATCTTTAACGCCAGTTCACAGCGTTCTAGAGAACTTGTCGGAGTGACCAATCCGTAACTTTCCTCTTCAGCTAAAGAACCAACGACAAGCTGGATAAAATCTGTTGCTGTTCCAACTGCTGCAGCGGTTCCTTTCAGAATAAAAACTGAACCATCACGACCCAGTTTTGGGTCTCGCTAGATGCCAACAAAATAGTCGTGACCCGGAAGTATCTCAAGACTGGTGGTCGGCTGCCGCGGCTGCTTCTACAGGCTTCGGCTCCATAAAGGTCAAGCTGGACCTTTACACCTGCTGATCTAGACGGGGACTTCCGCTAAGGGTACGTAGACCGACTGAATGGCGTCTAATGTGTTTATGAATCTCCTAACTAAAGCTTAGCGCGAAGACATCACCTTCAGTTCCCATCAGAACCAATCGCTTCTTTGGATTTGCTGATTCTGAACAACATTCCACATTACACCATTCTCCGTCTCATTCACCTTAGTTACACCATACATTTAGTTAAAGTTAGTCTAGTTTAATCTGTTTAGTAATAAATCTTTAAACCTTTAAACTTGACTCTCTCTCTTCTGTTGTCTCTGAGTGAATACGAAGCTGCTATCTAATCCCTGCAATAAAAAGTTCCAATCTTCTGGTTAACAGTACCCACAGATCCAAAAGGTTGATTTCATATTTCCTATGGAATCCTACGTCTTATGGCTTATTAAATAACATGTAATTTTAAATCATTACAGTCTTCTTGTTTAAAGTTATAGCAATATTTCTGACTTATTACGATTGGGAATTAAGATATGGCCAAAAATCTATTCTATCTGAATATATATTCTTCTCAACATCAACATCCGACTCCCTTAACCCAAACCAGGTCAGTATAACTGACATCACCCTGTCATCTTTACAAGTACTCACTAGTCCACCCACCCCACGCTGCAGCGGCCGCCGCTGCTTTCGTACAGAGTTGACGCAGCTTGGCGACATTCATGCAGAATCACGGTTGGCCGGTTAAACTGTGCTTTACTAATCGAGATATTTCCCAACCCTAGCTGGAGGGTTCATTGGGACTCACCATGCCATATGGCCCCATGTCCATCCCACAGGGTGGCCAGTGTTTTTCTGGCTCCATCATACAGGTTGTTGCAGTACGCTTCTTTCAGCTGATTCTTCCTCTACGAGAAGAAAAATGTCATTGAACTAATATTATTGGGTCATCAGTTTAACAAAATGTACAGAGCTGTTTGAAATAACATCTGACTGAGCAGAGATCTGAGGAGTCATTTTTAATGTAGGGATGTTGGAATTAATTTTATACCTCATGTGGGGTGCTGCTGACATGAACTAGGGATAGTCGGGCGGTGGAGGAAATGGTAAGTGGGCTGCACTCCAAGCACTTTACACTACAGTCATCAGTAAGAGGACTCCGTCCCGCAGCGCTCCTCTATGAGAGCGGAGGTGGGGGTGGGGGGTGGGGAGGGTTTGCACACGTTCCGCTGCTGTTTCTCACCAGTATCAGCTGATGGAGGGCTTTAGTTTCATTGCGCCGTTCGTGTCGGCGGACACAGTAGGGTCGGGGGGAGGGGAGATGACGCTTAGCCTGGCGGAAACCCTGTGTTCCAATAAGAAACTAGAGCTGGGGGACCCAGGGATGGATGGATCAGTCTCTGGGACTCAAGTCAAACATGCTTGAGTTTACTAAACTCGTTCTGCGAAACTCAAGGAAACGAATGTTGTATGGCTGTCTTTGGGGGTTGGGGGGGTGTGGGTGTATGTGTGGAGTGGCAGACTGGGACGGGGGATCCAAACTGTAATTAACTGGGACCAAAGTTGCTAACTGGTGTGTTCTACTGTATTTATAGGAGACCACACTCCTCAGGCTCCTGGGAAAGTTTAAAAAGTGCAAAAAAAAAAAAATGAAACACAATCAAAATCCCAACAAATTTAAGTATAAAAGGTGTGGTTCGCTAAAAACCCCATTTTTAATGATTAATTCTGATTATAATCAGACTCTGAGTTTAACATGCAGGCTAAACATGAAAATAGTCTCCTACAAGCATCTCCTGCATTAGCTTCTGATATAAAATAGAAACTCTAGGACTAGCAAAGCCTGACAGATCTACGTCACACAGTCACTTCATGTTCATGGACTCTCCCATCTTGACTCTCGACGGGGAAGGCTGTTGTTGGTTTAGCCTCCAGGAAACAGCAGCAAACCACCCCGACTAGTTTAAGCTAACCATTAGCTTAGCAACTTCACCACATGACAGAAGCTCCTCCAGGCTTGTGTTATTAGTGGAGATAAAATATCCGTGTCGCAAGTCAGTGGCAGAGTTGCGTTGTGGATATCCAATCTTGAGCAAGATGCCCAAATATTAGAGGCCAATCGATATATTGGGCCGATATATTAAATTTCTTCTATATCGGCCATTGTCCGAAATTATTTTTAAAGGACGATAAAAATATAATAAATCAGGCACCTGTGTGGCCAACTGCCACCGCTACTGAAGAAAGGACCCGAAGGATCCCAACACTGTTGTTTTTTTTAATGTTTTGAGTTTGTTTTATATTTGAAGTTCAATTAATATTAAGATATTTGTTTACTTATTTAATTTATATTGCACACAGTAACCCCCAAATTCCACTACCTCTGCTCCGCTCTGCTCCGGCACGAACTCCGGAGCAAAATCGGTCCCGTTGTAGTCAATCAGAGCAATACTGCGGCCGTGCTCCGGCAGTGCTCCGGCAGTGCTCCGGCAGTGTGGCGCAGTGCGCCGCCCTCTGTTCCGGCGTCCGGCAAAAATAGAATCGATCCTATTTTTGCCGGACGCCGGAGCACCTCCGCAGTAAATGGACAGAAATCACAACCGCCCAACAGGAGAAGGAGCAAGCACAACTTCCGTTTTTCACAATAAATCGATAAACAAAACACGTTTTTTGTTTCATATGCACAGGTTTAACAACTTTTAACAACTATCAATGGCGGCTGAACTTTAAATGCACAAAAAAAAGCCATAAATACAGTTTCCACTATCAAAGTAGTCACACTTTGTTGATCCAAACACTGCTGATCTCTCAACACAAATGATAGGCAGATTAAACAGTTCATGCCGATGCTTCTCCCACACAACTGGTGTTTGGACCTAACTTCCGCGTTTATTGCTCGGACTGTATCGCAAGATCTCGAAAATCCCGCGCATGCTTGTTTGCCCCCCTCAGGTCTCCACACCGGAGCGGAGCCGTTGTAGAGCGGGTACCAGTAAAAATTGAGTTTGGAAGCGAGCGGCTGCGAGAGGCGGGGGCGGAGGTAGTGGAATTTGGGGGTGAGAGTTCTGTTGACCTTCACAGTCAATGTGCTGCTAAAACGTAAACATATTGGCCATAATAATGGGCTTTAGATATCGGCCATCGGCAGCAAAATTCTTTAAAAATCGGTATCGGCCTTAAAAAACCATATCGGTCGGCCTCTACCAAATATTGGAAAAAAAGACACCAAAAGCTGCCGTCTGAAGCTCAGCTGTGATGTGGGTAACTGCTATTTCCTGGAAATGGTGAACCGGTGTCCCCCTAACCCCAGTTTGACTTACAAGTTAGAGCCCTGCACTGAAGCCCTAGGCCCTCGGGTCAGCCGGGCTTCGGGCCAACGACTGTGTAAATACCTCGGACACGGGCTCAGATTTTAGGCCCGTGCAGGGCTCTATTACAAGTCATTCATTCCTACTAGAGATCACTGCAAATGCATTGGGTGAACAAGTGTTCCACACCTTTAACTGCAGAGCATTAGCGGTTGTCTTAATAATTACTTCTCCCATTTCACTTTGGGTTGTGAAATGTAATTTTTATTAAGCAATAACCCAAACTCTGCAAGGTTCCTGTGGAATTTAGGCTATTGAAGTAAAAATGAATCTTATTAACCATGCTTCTGTGTTTAATGCATAAAATGAAAATATTATTATTAAGTATACAAACCTTATAGACATGAAGGAAAAGTATTGAGAGGTAAAGGAGAATAACGATGAGGAATGGCAGGACGAAGACCACCACAAGAGGGGTGAAGACCCATAAGAGGTACTCCAGAAAGCTCAGATAGTCCTCCACCTGGTCCAGGCCAGCAAACTCTACCCACATATCAAACAAACACACCTGAAAAACCAAAACACAAAGGACAAGTTGCTTTGAATCAGATAAAAACGTCTCAACACCTCCTTCACGTTTATGAGGATAAAGCTGGAACACAACACAGTCTGAAAAACCAGAAGCAAAAACTAAAATAATGCAGATTAATTATTAATTACTGCAGATATCAGATCCAGACAACTCCTTCAGCAGAGCTAGAACCAACAACAGGAAGTGCTGGAACAGAAAAACAGGGAGCGCAGGAATCAGATAAGAATGGATGTCTCATCCATGCAATTCCTTAGCAGATGCATTGTGCCAGCGCCTCATCCTCTGCCATACTGCATATTGGGAATGTTGCCCTAGGATCCAGAACAGAATGTAGAAGCTGGGTTTCATGAATAAAATAAGGACAACATTTACTTTTCACCATTTTGAATGAGTTGTTTATATTTCAAACTTTACGTACATTTCAGTATTAACCCAGCTGTTTTGGATCCTAGGGCAACATTCTAGCTCTGCTGCAGGAGTTGTCTGGGCTGCATGGCGGCGCAGTGGTTAGCACTGTTGCCTCGCAGCACGAAGGTCGCAGGTTCGAAACTCTGCTGCGACCTTTCTGCGTGGAGTTGGGGTTTCCTCCGGGTACTCCGGTTTCCCCCACAGATCACAACATGCCCTATAGGTTATAAATTGTAAGTCGCTTTGGATAAAAGCGTCTGCTAAATAAATAAACATAAACATAATGAATAAAACTGTATAACCATTATAAATCACATAGTTCTGAAAATGTATTTATCCATAAAAATAAAACAGTTTTTTTTCTGCTTTGTTTTGTTTATATTCACACTAATACAATTTGGCTCAGTTTTAATTAATGATTTTGTCTTAGAGGTGGATTCGAAGCGCTTTAATCTAATTTCTTTTTTTTTTTTTTGCTAAGAGGACAGTAGACTCTACCTGTTCCCTTAGATTGCATCGCAGCATAAGATCCAGTTGACCAATATGTTCGATTGTAGCAGTTTGAACAGGATATTAAAGGTGGAATATGGAACAATAAGCTATATTTTTAAACAATAATACCTCCACGGGGCATTTAGAGGCGTGCAGGATGAGTGTACAGTTTTACCTTTAAAAGCTATCTTTTAAAAAAAATTAAATAATCACATTTTAATTTTGTCGGGCATGACGCTGGATTTATGTTTATATTTGCCAGCCACTAGAGGGCACCGTTTAGCTAAAATGTCTGCTCAGCAAGGTGAGGCTGGGACTGTGGAAAATGGCGGACTTGACAAGTCAAGCAGATAAAACATCAACGTTGCATCTTTTACCCAAAAAAGAAGAGGTAATGGAAGTGTCACGCCACTGTTAGCCAATCAGAGGCAACGTGCTGTAAATAATATTATAATCTTTCCAAATAAAGTCTAAACAGTAAACATTTCAAGATCCAGCCCAGAAAAGTGTTTATTCTTGATCCATCCAACTATTAATAGGTCCAACATCCAATAAAACCAATTATGTGCTTTGGAGCAACACTAACCAGTACTATGACTTTAATACAGCCCAACTGACAACCTGTCCTAGATCCTGTTTAACTAAAAATCTGTGTAGAAACAGACACATCAATAATCTGTTATGGATTAAATGTAACCAGACACCTGTACTATAGCCATTCTCTTCAGTCTAATCTGAATTCAGATGTATCCAGTCAGACGCAGACTCAAAAACTCCTGTACAACTAATCTGCCCTACGTCTAGGGCTGGGCGATAGGGCTTGAAATTAATATCACAATATATTGAGGATTTCACCTCGATAACGATAAATGGACGATAACTACGGGTATGTGCAGAAAACAAGTTGCCCACTAGATGGGGCTGTCACATGATTTACGTTGAGTCACATTTTTAAGTGACTCAAGGTGGTACAGCTTCTTAAAGGGACACGAATGTTGCTAACCTACACACATCTATTTATTTTTTATTATCAAATTTATTGACATGGGGAAAATTATCTCGATAAAAGTCAGAAATTTCGATAACGATACATTTTTGATTTATTGCCCAGCTCTACCTACATCTAGTCTAAACGTATGTCTATGGTCTAAATGCTCATTTGTTCTGTATTCATTCAAACTGATTAGTGTATTGAATCCAGTCAAACCAGACTTCAAAATCCAGTCTGACTAATAATATTTTCCTGAATCAGTCTAACTAGATGGCTGATGTACATACGAGTCTAATAGTTAGGGTTACTGATCAAGTCTATGCCCAGTCTAACTAATAATCTGTTCTGGATCAGTGACCCTAAATCCCAGAGATGGCCAGTTGTGCCTCCTTAAACATAACAGATCATTTCAAGATTATAAATGTGATATAAACGGATTTCTCACCATGAAGGACACAGTGTCATGTGCTCCCGCTAGACAGGACTGGTTCCCAGAGTCTGCCATCCTGTTGTGCGGTTAGGGCCAACAGGGTCAGCCACAGCGCAGATCCCCGGGGCAACGATCAGGCTGCATGAGCAGTAGGCACTCCTTTTTCCAGGTGAGCGAAACAAGAAAATATCCACCAGAAAGCAGGATTTCACTGGAACCAGTCACAATCATTTTTGGTGAGGAATAGGGTTTAGGGGAGTTTTCCGTCAGCAACTTCTAGAGATAACAGTCAGTGATCCACTCAAAACACAGATTGAGCTGTTTAAATGAAAATACTCTGACCCAATCAGCTCCTCAGAGTTCTGCTGCCGGGCTCATCCTTGTGACCTCACAGGCCTGCCTAAGACCTGAGTGCTGCACAAACTAAGCCTTGTGTTCTTGTTAACATTTGTTCAAGGGTTGTTGCTTGTGGAACAGCTTTCTCTTCGTCACCACATCCAGGGTCAGAACTCAAACAAGCTTCTTTAAATGGTACCAGAGAAATACGGAACCAGCACCCAGATGTGATTCTGGAGCCTCCACTGTGAAGAGCCTGAGCCTAAAGACCAGTCAGACCAGTAGAACCGCGATGGTACCCTGACAGCAGATGATCCGTGTGGTGTGTGTGACGTTATCAGCGTGGTGTTTAGTGTTGTCATGCTTATTTTCTCGCTGTTATTACTGTTGTTGTACTTTATAACACGTCGGCCCAGCTGTTGACCACTTTGACTTATATGTTCCGACCCATAAACATCTCCTCTCGCCGAGTTTAGGTCTAACCACTCCAGGCTTCCTCGGTGAGGGACGTAAGGAGCCAAGAACTGTCAGAACAGAGCAGCAGCCAGAACTGAAATGGACCGGAGACGGACGGAAGATCCATACAGCAGACACGAAGGTCGTAGTTAGACAGAAACGAGTTAAACTTACCGCGTGGGGCTTCCGCTGAGGACAGCGACTACATGTAAACAAATAAATACAATAAAAACGGCAGATCCTGGGATCCGAGTGCACAACTCAGCACACTCAACATTTCTGTTTACAACCGGAACGATTAGAGTGTAACACACCCAGTGTCATCGAGAATCGGTGCGACTGGAAACCATTGGGGATAAATAGTTCCGCTGCTATTGGGGAAAAATTCTCTTCCAGTACATTTATATTTCTGTTAGCGTTACAAGAACAATGAATGAATGAATGAATGAATGAATGAATGAATCATACTGCTGCAGTCTTGCTGTTAAAATACAAAATGAAACAGCGAAAGTGAACCACAAATAAGGAAGAAAATATATCTTCTGAGCTATAGAACATTAACCCTCTGATGCGTGAATTATGAAATCTTCAAGCATGATTTATTTCACAATTTTTTTCGTTCATCTTTAGGTGTGAGTGAAACAAATTTCAACAATTTTTTGTAACATTTAATAATTTACAAATAATTTATTATGTCCACGTCAGTAGACAGCGTGCATTCTGAATATGAAATATGTTGGCTTGACTTACCGAAGTCCAAATGGAGGGGCTCAAATGCAATAAAGTCTTCAACAGCTGTGCTTAATAGCGAAAAAATAAAGAAATAACAATTCTGAGTACATGTCCACTGTAGTGACCATTATGCATCAAATGGTAAACATATTTCCTTTTTTTACAAGATAATTTGCATCATTTATTCACCAAACAGGGGCTCAGTGTAAATTCTGCAGACAAGGCTGACTGTTTTTGCATTTACTATTTCTCTAAAACACTGGTGTGGATTGTTTGTCTTCATAAACAGAAAATACTCCAGGTTGAAAGCAAAGTTCAACACCTTTTACCAAACACCTGAGTTTTTCTGATATTTCTGGGCTCAGAATTCACAAGGTTCTACTTTAAATCCGAGTCTGTGGCCCTGTGAACCCTGGAATTATTCCTTCATACATTAATTTGTTCCTTTTATTTATTGAATGCCAGTGGAGATGGTGTTGTCAGAGTCATAGCCAGCATTCCTCCTCAAAACATGGCTGAGTTGATGCCAAGGAGCTCAATTTTGGTCTCTTCTGACCACAACACGTCCCCCCAGGCATCCTCTAAATTGTTTTGCTCAGGGGCCACATTGAGGGAAATCTAGTCCCAAGTGGGCCGGACCGGTAAATTAAAAACAACTTCAGATTGTTTTCTTTGTTTTAATACAATCAATATGAAACAAAGCTGGAGCCTGAGGACAGTGTATCCAAAGTAGTACAAGTACAACACCTGAAGTGTACTTGAAAATTTGAATTAAATAAATAAATAAATAAGACCTTCCTTGGTGATTCAAAGAGCTTACAGATCACATGGCTAGATCAGTTTCATGCAGCACTTAAAGTATATTTGACTCATTTTACTTTACATCTTTTAGCTTTCACCAGCACATCAACATCAGAAGTCACATCCTGAGTGGCGGCCATCTTCAGGATGGGATTCAAGTCCTTGTGTGAGCCTTGAGCGCACCTTTGTTTTATTTATACTCGTTACAGAGGAAACTTGCTCACAAAGATACGTTTATTTTCACTCTACATTGTAAAGTATGAAAATAAAGTTTACACAACCATCTCGCGGGCCGGATTTAACCCGTTTGCGGGCCGTATATTTGACACCCCTGCTTTAGATTTTTAATGGCAGACTTCAAACTTGCCTGCTGCACATGAACTTTCTTGAGCAGGGGGACCTTGCAGATACTGCAGGATATCAGTTTTTAGGGCATAGTGTGTACCCAAGTACATTTTGGGGTGGGGGTGGGGGTGGGGTCCAGAACTAGAAGGTGCTACATCAAATACAGGCCATTTACATGTGGGAGACATACATCTTGCCGATTGGTCAAAAAAATAATTTCCTTCTATTGGTTAAAAATCTTTTTTAAATGAACTTTTTTGAATATTGTTCCGTCTGTAACTCTAAACCTACCCTACATATAGACTGGTGATTCCTTTGCTGGTGGGCACGCTTATAAAATCGGCAAGGATTAAAAACAGTTTTCCTGACTGCAAATATTGACCTAACAAGGTCTGAGGCTACCACATGATGGAAATAAGCTGGCACCTCAAAGTTTTTCAGCACCTTTCCAGTTCTCCTTCATGAAGCAGCTCTGGACTGCTGAAACAAACGTGTTCCCTCTGCTCTGCCCATCACAGAGGCTGCTGCATGTTAATATTTTATTCTCCAATTTTAGATACACAAATAATCGTTTAATTGAGTCTGAACTCAAACAGTCAAGAGAAGAAATGAGCAAACTTGAGGCCAGAAAAAAGGACCACAGTGTAATTTATTAAATTAAATTTGGGAGTTTATATTTCATTAGATTCAAATAAGAGTTTACAAAAATCACATATATACAAAAGTGTGTTTTCAGCACTCTTCTTTTTTCATTAAACAGTTCTGCATAAAATGCATTTTTAGCACTTCAGACTTTCATCACACAATGCGACTCACTGAAAGACGAATGTTTTTTGTCTTTGTATTTTATGCACCACTCACATCACGTTTTAGTCTGCAGCATAACAACATGGTTAAAGCCAACACAGTGGCACTGAGTCTCTAAAGACAGCCTTCACAATAAAAACTCAGAGAGAGAGGAATGTTCTTTTTTAACATTTATACTTTGCATACATGTATTTACACAGAACCGTTTCAGCTGATCGGTTACCAAGACTCCCGTTCAGCCAAGTCAAACAAACGTATGCAGGTGAGGTACCACTGGACTTCTTTTCTGAGCCGTCAGCTGGTTCTGTGCTGGATCTAAAAGCTTCCTGACCCAACTGGAACCAGAACAACTTCGATACCTGTCTTGATTTGACAGCTGCAGGTGCGTGTTTGTGTTTAGCTCCAGGCTGCAGCAGCCCTCAGAAGATCAACAACAACAACCCAAGCAATCGCAGGAGAAGACAACACACTGCACGTTACTCGAGGGTCTGAGGGTGTCTCCTCTGGTGCGAAAGGTCTGTAAATTGAAACAAATTCAACAAAGCAGGTTGTTCAATCAGTTTTAATGTCGCATGACGTTTTTCTCAGGCTTGTTGTCGTGGTAAAACAAAATCACCGAGTATGACAGACACAAGTTGTGCATACCAGCCAAACGAGGATATTATTCAGATTCAGTGATGCTGGGCCACCAGAGACCTTTGAGCTGCTCGGTGCGCCGTTAGAACTCTGGAGTTCAGTTGTGACGCGAAGCTGACGGTGATGGAAGGGTTTCTATAACTGAGCTTAACTGAACCGTTTTGAGAAAAGAGTGGATGTAAGATGCATTTTTGCCATCAGCTCCACCAAAGTCAAAGTTATGCTAGTTATGTGTGACTTAGGGGTGTGCTAGAGGATCTATGGGTCTGAAAAACAGAACTGGAACCTCCACGAGTTAAAGATGTTGCTCAGTCATCCGCGTTGAATGAAGAACATGCATGTTTGGAGCAATGTATCCACTTTTACAGAGAGACGAGGTCAGACGACCTCCGAGAACGTTCTGTTAACACACATTGTAACTGAACAGTCTGAAGAAGGCTTCTGCTTCTATGAGAATGGCCGCTGTAGCGGTCAGACCCTCTGAGCGCCCCAAAGCAACGTGACCCTGAAGAACAAACCTGAGCTCATTCTCACTGGACTACTAGTCACCAGGTTTCTCTTTAAGCCGTGAGCTCCGACTGCAACCAGCTGGGTTGCTGCTCAGGGGGCACCACAAGTCTGCCTTGCTCATGGGCGGACTTTGAATGTTTGGTAGAACCGGTGGGACTATGTGGACAGAACCTCAGCGTGGATGTTCAAAACCCAGCCGACACACCTGTGGGTTCTGGTTTAGGTCCATCTAAACGTTTCTCCTTTGCTTTCAGACGATGGCAAGAACATTTCTTTTCTGTTAACCGGACGGATCTCATAAGAAGCTTCAGAAGAGAGTTCAAAATCAGCCGTTGGTGGGGGGGGGGGGGGGGGGGGGGGGGGTTACTGTCATCTATCTGATTGAGGTTCATGCTGTGTTTAGGGTTTGGGCTTAAGAACAGTGCTGTCAAATGTCTAAAATCAGACAATCCTTAGAAAACAGAAAGGCTTGTTTCAGATGTTTCATCTCAACACGAGTGGGAACAGCTACGATTTATTGTTCTATACTTTTTTTATTTAAAAAGATGCTCATGAATTTCATTTCTCCTGCCTTCCTTTCAAGACTCTTGCTTATTATTTCCAATCAAAATATGTTGCCACCAAGTGGGAAAGGCGTAGAATGTCTTCTCCAGGTCAGGAACGAGTTCCTGCCTCAAGCGGAGGAGTTCAAGTGTCTTCGGGTCTTGTTCACGCGTGAAGGACAGATGGAACGTGATATCGGTCGGCGGACTGGTGCTGCGTCTGCAGTGATGCGGGCATTGTAGATCATCTGGGAGGGGCTCGGAGTAGACCCGCTGCTCCTCCACATTGAGAGGAGCCAGTTTAGGTGGCTCGGGCATCCAGTTAGAATTTCTCTTGGACACCTCCCTGGTGAAGTTTTCCAGGCACGTCCAACCGGGAGGAGGCCTAAAGGGAGACCCAGGACACATTTGAGGGACAATGTCTCTTGGCTGGTCAGGGAACACCTTGGGATTGCCCTGGAAGAGCTGGACCAAGTGGCTGGAGAGAGGACAGCCTGGGTCTCTCTGCTTAGGCTGCTGCCCCCGCGACCCGACTCCGGATAAACGGCTGAAAACAGACGGATGGATATCTTGCCACCTGTCATCAAAATGTGAAAAAATAATAATCCCCCAACTAAAATCCAAAATTCCTCTTGAAGTTGCTAACCAGTAATTTCAAAGACATTTAGATAAAAATAAGCTGAAGCAGACACTGCAGATCTAATTAACGGGGATCTACTATGCGATCCAGAGTTTTTGTGCTTTTTGCGCTGACCTGTGGGTCTCCGCTGCCTCTAAAAACACTCCGAACATGAAACAAATAGTCTGTTTCCGGTCAGCGTTTGGTTTGGGAACACGCTTTTTCAAAAAGTCCCCTTTGCTTCATCACAAACGAGGAGTTTGCATGGACTCCCTCTCACCTGTGGAGTCCCCACCCACCAACACCATGTCTGTTTACCCAGAGGCGGAGAGAGGACATGCTGGAGGGGCTGTGTTTCCATGGGAATGCTAGCTGGGGGGAGAGAACTTTGTGCCGTTCTGCTTCTCTTATTCTCCGGTTAAGCTCCTGACTCTGAGACCGACTCAACGGAAGCTGTAAAATAACGTCGAATCACAAATGATGGATAAAGAGCGAAGAACAGGACCAACCGGAAGCTCCCAACAACAATCCGTGTGCAGCAGGGCCACCACGACGCACATTCTTTACACCCTCTCGAGCCACACCTCTAACTTCTCTTGTTGAAGAAGCAACAGGCCACCTGAGCACAGCCAGCAGCACACGTCTTCTGAGTAAACAGCTTTACCTTCTCTCTGTGTCACATCAGCAGGTGAGAGATGCGACTCAATTTAAAAATATAAAATTTTGTGTATCTATCACAGTTAAACAAGAACTAGCAAGGATGCGCCTGAATCAGGAAGTACGACTCAGCTAGAGGAGAAAGTAGCTTCTGACGACAGGATTTGGAGTCTTACTACCCGATATTTGGACACCTTGGCTCTGATTGGCTAACAGAAACACGACTCTACCACTGACTCTATTTGCTCTGCAACGTTGATGTTTCATCTCCACAAACATGACAAGCCTGAAGGAGTTCTGCGGTGTGGTGGAGTTGGTGATGCTAATGGTAAGCTTCTGCTAGTCGAGATGTTCTCTGATGTTTCCTAGACGCTAAAACAACATCCTTCCTTCATGAGTCAACATGGGAGAGTCCATGATTGTTAAGTGACAGTGTGAAGCAGATCTGTCAGGCTCTTCTAATCGTATCTATTTTCTACCAGAGGCTAACGCAGGAGACAGGTGTAGGAGACTATTTTCACGTTCAGCCTGCAGATTAT